CCCTAAGAAATCTGTTCCTAATGACAAACAAGTCCCTCTCCATTGGAATGGCTCTCCCCAGAGTGGAAAGCAGAAAGGAAACGGGGACAATCTGGACTTCATTTTGGACAGTTTGAAGACAATGAAAATATTTAATTTCAGTGGTCTGCAGAGCAGGCCTTGTGGTTGCTAAATTAGCTTTTGCTTGTTCCAGGAAGGCAGCTGGACACATCAGACCCATTGCCTATAGAGACACAGAGTGGGACTGGCACCAGCTCCAGGATGATCTCACACTGCCCAAAGTATCTTTTTTTCTCAAGAGTTCTCATTTGTCTTCACCTAACAATGAATGATCCAACTTACAGGTTATAACCACGACCAGTGAAGTCCTAAAACAGTCCCAGGAAGAGTAGTTGAGATGAGAACTTTATTTTACGTGGTCCCTGGCTTCACCTGCTCAAGAACAGTCGTCATTTGCTCTCAGCAAGGTGCACCTGCACCCTGCTTCATCCACCCAAACTGCAATGCAAACTGCCTCCATCAGTGTCCCTGAAAGAACTCTGTCACCAGCTGGGATACTACTCAGTGGGTGGCAGCCCTCCAAGAACAGAATGCACAGCAGGAACTTTGCAAGGTGTTAGTTCTGCAAGGAAGGAATTTGGGCTGGGAGAGAATTATAAAACTGTGCCATAAAGTATTCCAGCAGGATATGTTATCTTCCCTTCTGGTCCTGCAAAATTATGTACTCTGAAGGAGCTGCCAGCCTTCATCTCTGTGATAAATGATTCCAACTCCATGTGCAGCCACACAAGTGTTCATCACACAGTTCTGGAGAGCTAGAATTTGCCTGTGAGCCCCACATCTGAGACAAATGACGATGTCCCAAGTCAAAATCGCCAAATGTCCCATACAGAAATCACTGGAATAACTCACTGCATCAGAACTGCACTTTGTCAAGCACTTTAGGATGCTCTGAAATTAAACATGCTATTGGGAAGGATTAGCTAATGCAGGTGATAGCTTAGGCAGGATCTCCAGAAAGCAAGAAATGAAATCAATTTTTACTTGAAACTCTATTACGTTCTCCTTTATTTCTTAAATGCTAGGAGAGTTACACAGCAAGGACAAACGATAAAAGTTAAGTAACAATAATCATGAAAATTAATTCTGCAACAGTGAAGAACGAAACAAGATGCATGGACCAGGTCTTCCCCTCAGTCTTGAGAGGAAGCGTTGCATGCATGGAGCAGAAAAGAAAGGGCTCTATTTCCAGCCTGATATGCCAGTGGCCTTCTGCATCTTCTGACAAACAAATATTACATTGTGTGACTGTTTCCTCACTTCAGTTCTCCCCTGCTTCTACGTCACCAAGTTGCAGAAATACAAAACTGCATTGGAACTTCATTTGTATCAGCCAAATGAACTCAAAGGGTTCATTTGCTGCAGCACTTCGTATCAGAGCTGTGTCTGAGAACAAATCCCAGTGTTCCCACATAGCACCCTTTGGTTTGCATTATGAAACAGCCTTAAAATGCACTAGCTGCATGTATTTCAAAGATAATTCAACTGAAAAAGCATGCTCCAGCTATTGATGCTCTCAGTCCAGAGGATCAGACAGGCAGAAGTCACAACCAACCTTTCCCACCTGCAACACGCACTGTTTGCCTATACAGCTGCATGAGCTTCCATTCAAATTAAGCTCTTTTACTCTTCAATTAAGACCTCATCTTATGGAAAGAAATTTTTTTCCCCAGACTCTCTGAAATGGGCTCTTTCACTTTCTTCTCCTTCTTACAAGTCACTGACTCCATGCAGGTCCTTTACTCTTTCATCTGTACTTATTTTCCTTCCTCTCTATTTACGTCCAATTAAGATCATGATTATGTCATCTTCACTAATCTAAGCCTACAATTTGCACACACGTACTCTCTCCTGCAAATTATCATGTAATGATAAAATGAGGGAAAGCATATATTATAGGTTACAGCATTCTTAGACTGATTAACAAACATAGTTAGTTGCTAATGAATGAGTTTACAGAAGACAGACTGAGTAACAAAGCCAAGACAAGCATGAACATCAGTGGAAAAAAACCCACCTGCATTGCAGTTTTCCTATTAAGATGGAAAAAGTCATAAGAAAGCCATAACATCTCAAGTAACTCAGACAAAATCATTTATCATTTCTCAGAGAGAAAGGCTGAGATGAGAGATGGGAGAAAGAGAAAGCCAACCTGCCTAGAATCACATTGAGCCTCTGGCAGGGTGGGAACAGAACACAGTCCTGTCCCAGAGCTAGTGGTTACCTACAAATCCAGACTGTAGATCCACTCCTAACGTCCATGTGCAAGATCACAATCGTTTAGGTTGGAGAAGACCTTGAGGGTCATCAAGTCCAACCATCAACCTCACCTACCAAGTCCCACCACAAAACAAGCAGAAGATCTGAATGGCTTCTTACCAGTATTGGAGGGCACACAACCCTTGATAACTCTCTGGATTAAGAAACAAAAATAAAAATAAAAACCTCTTCAGCTTAGTGTTCAGTTTTCTGGTTTCCTTCAACAGTTTGGAAACACACAAATCGATAGCCAGCAATTTTGCCCGGATCTCTTTCAGCCAGAATTTTAACTTAGTAAATTACACACTGGATGTGGCAGGCTGCTTTTAAAAACCACTCTTCTGATCCTCAGCCTAATCACACAACGCATGCCTCTCCTGATGAAAAAGGGCCACGATCTCAACCTGCTCTCCCATTTTGATCAGTCAAGGTTATACTGCTTTGTCTGACCATTATCCAAATTCAAACTTGGGATCAAAGCAAAGATGAGGAACTCATCAAGCTCTTCCTACCACTTGTTTCATAGAACAAATATATCTATTTCCCCTTAAGCTATTTTGCAGCCTAGAAGTCAAATAAAATATTTAAATGCCTCTGGAGTTTATGAGTAACCTCACTTTAAGCTGATGTCTGTATGAGCTGTGCTAAGCAATTTGAACTGGCAAGTAAAGATCTCCAACCTTTGACTCACAGACATGAAAGGGAGGGAGAAAGAGATTAATGGCAATTATTTGAGACTGTGCCACCCTGATGGAATAACCAGAGCAGCCTTACACACCTGCAGGAATGCAGCCTGGGTTCCAATCAGATCCTGCCAAAGGCAACCTAAGAATGGCTGAATACTCTGGGAGAAGGGAAAGCAAATAAGGACCTGGGCCCAACCCCATCCCCTCCTTACCACCAGTCTTCAGCCTGCCTACTCTGAACTCTTTTGTACAAGTGTATCTTAAAGCGAAGAGAAAAGCAGAAATCACAGAAATTGTCTGGAGAACAGCAGAAGAACTGAGCAAATCATAAGATCAGGATTTGCTCAGCTGTAGCATGTGCATCAGTAAATCAGACATTCAGGTTGGTAGCAGTGGAAAGAAAGGGTCTGTACAAGACTTGAATCCTATGTCTGGGAGGCCCATAGTATCGAACAGCTCTCAAAAAAGCCCTGGACCTTTTTACAGTGTGTGTGCCTGCAGTAGGTACTTTCACCCAACCATGACATCACTTTCCATTTTGGCCAAACCTGTACCCCTATTACATAGCACTGACATGTGATAAGCAGTGAGAGTGGCTGTAACTGCCAGGACACACACTGTAGTAGGCAGCAGGTGATATTCTCAATTGTTTAGGTGGTAAACGGAGATGCTTCCTTGGACCACAGCTACTTTATCTCCAGCAAAGATCTCAGGATTCTCCACAACAGGAAGAAATCCATACTGAGGCAGCAGCTGCAAGCAGAGCACTGCTTCAAGCCTGAAACCACTCCTGACACTCACAGTAATCCCACACAAGCTCTTCTTCACACTTCCACCACTCACAACATCCTGGAGACCTTACTCCAGCTCCAATCACCTAGCCCATGCTCAATCCCTTACTCTGCCCTTCTCTTCAGACATCCAAATAGTAAGCTGGCAATCCCAGGCCAGCTACATGCTTCCATGAGAACACAAGCTGTTGCCATCGTGCTCCCAATGGCAGGAAACCTTATTTTCATCCATGCACAAAAGGACCACAGGCGTGTCGTGGTTTGGGAATGGTGCCACAGCACATCTCAAGCAGTCAGAGAGACTGTACAGAGGTGTTAATATTTTCTGGCTTTCCTGACACTTTACCTTGCTTGTATTATAACACTTAATTACTGTCTTCCAAATTTTTGGACACCCCCACCTGATGTAGTAGAATTAGATGTGGAACTCCCCTTCAGCCCATAACTTCACACTATGCTCCCCAGAACAATGCCAAAACCTACAAGAGTAAAATCATATCCCTCCCTGGCTGCTTCTTTTGGGGACCATGATCCATGAAAGTGCCTGATAGGCCATTTGGTGGAATGTGTTGTTAGTTTTGTTCCTCATGGTTGGCTCATGGAAGTTATTCTTTTCAGCAGTTAGTCTAACTGTGCTGTAATCGTACCTTTTTCTGTGATGAGCTCACAAGAACTGTGTGGGGAGGATCCACTCAAGGACTGCAGGAAAATCATGCTCCAGATTCCACACAGGAGCTTAGCTCTGTCCATATATTTCTGGATCTGATCTAACTGACACTGGTATTACAGCACTGTACCTCCAACTGCAGCTGAAAGTGTCTGCTCCTGACAAATTTGGTTTGGTTTGCACTGAAACAAAAACAAATCAACAAATAAGCTTAGAGTGAGAAATACAAAGTTAGACTCCCAGAACTCTTTGGAGCTGATCCCAACACTATAATGGTGGCAACTAGATCTGCGTGCCTCCCTTTCCCCTGTAAAATGAGGATGTTGACATTTCCCTGTTTGTATGATGAGGTATTTATATTGTTATTTGTGAAGGGCTGAATAAGCAATTCTTTGTACCTGGAATATATAAAGTGCTAAGTGACAGTACTCTTCCTCTCAATGTACACCAGCATGAGAGATCACAATCAGGCTTTGCTATTACATTTCTAATGAGTACATTGCATGAAAAAAATGCCTGATATAATGATAGCTAAGATTGGTGTTGCAGGTTGGTTTATTTAAAGCAGTAACATCAAAGCAAAAGGTCTGCTGATTCAGCTCGTAAAAATCATTGATGCATAAAAACAACAATAATATCAGAAAGAAAATGGGAGGGAGGACTGGGAGAACAATAGAAGAAAAGTAAACCCAAACCCATCATAAATGCACACGAGACAGATGGCCTAACTCTTTCAGAAAGCATTTGCAAATACCCTCATGCTTACTGGGGAGAAACTCTACATGAAAAATGTATGGTAACTGGAGGGACGTGGTATTATGAAAGGCATCTCCTTTCCATCTATCTTTGATTGAAGCTTCTGGTCCAGCCAGCAGCTTGGGAATGTCTTCATTTACAATATTCCTTCCTGAAATCTGAAAGCAATTGAAATGGAGATCAGTACCCAGAATGAAATTTTAAACCATCTAAAGAAACACACAGTGATATGGAATTAGTTATACAGTTACAAGTGACCATTTGCAGTCAGCCACGTGCCCAGTATCTTCTTCATAAACCTCACAGTGAGATTTATGGCATACAAATTATAACACAGATCATCTCTGCAGAATGTACGTAAAGTATCATAAGAGCTGCATCAAGAACTGCAGATATAAGGCAACTCAATTCTCTTCTTGATGCCACTTCAGACACATTTAATATGTTCTAAAATCATATGAAAGAAGTCACGGAACCTAACCTTCTTAAAAGCACAGCCTGTCATAAGTGCAACTCTGCAAACTGACAGATGGCAGTATCCAGAATTTCGACTGGGTAAATAAAAGGAAATTCAGCTCCTAGAGGTAGGGAGCTGTTTTGTTGGATAAAGTCAGTGATTGCCTATTGCCCATAAATTAATTCAACTCAAAACACTCTTCTGCACAGCAGTTTCTTCTCAAATACCATGCCACATTTTTGAGATGCATCTCCCTCTGAGGTTGTAATATAGAATGCACTATTCCAATCCTGCTAGGCATTCTTTTTCCAATAAGGAGAAATTCTATTTGTGTCATGCCAGAAGCTTTTAAAAGCCTAATCACTACTTGCATCTTGTGGCTCCATGATGAAAGGATAGGAAGGGAACTGGCTTCTCATTCCTGCTGCCATCTGTCATGATGTTTACCATTCTTCATTTGCCTGTGGCTTGGTCAGCTCACTGCTATACTGTGCTCTTCCCTCCTCCCTCCTCCAACCCATCAGTAGGTTCCTACAGCCACCAATTAGGGTGAAGCAGGTCATTATTACCTTTGTCTAAATCAATGTTCTTTGCTGGGAAACTTCTGGCTTGCTCAGCCTTCTCCTTCAGGATGTTGTTTTTGTAATCTGTATAAGGGAGGAATGTATGTAATTCAGACAGACATTAGAACATTAAGAGAAAACAAAGCTTTACAAGCACGGCATCAGCCCTTCCTTGAAGTACCCTAGGTCTATCATTTCCAGATCTTTAGGGGTAACTCATGGAGTTAATCAACTGCTCAGCAGAAAAACATGCTACATCTTAGGGTGGTTGTATTTTTTCCCTGGTACTAAATCATGCTTTAACTCTCTGTTCCTCATAGGTACCACAGAGTCTTCCATCACGACAGCAATTTATATTTGCTGCTGCCCTGGTTTGCAACTCACCCTCTGCTATTCCTTTGTTCCTTGCTTCAATTTTTATATCTGCCTTTTACTCACTGGGGTCATTACTGCAGTAACTTTGATACCCAAAGCACGTCAGCTTGTTCTTTAAAAAGTTGTATCTTTACTAGGGGTGAGATTCCCCTAAGTGTGCATTTACAACCACAAAGTTAGGTTACTACAAAATGAACATAGAAATGTCATTAAAAAGTCCTTAGCTGTAACAAGTTTTGAACAAGTCTGGAGAATGGCTGCTAGCTGATACATACCCAGCCTGATGTCTTCACTTTTGTACTGAGTCAGATCTGTTGTGTCGACCGTAAATTCTTTGAGATTTACATCCTTCCTGGAAAATCAATGAGTGAAAAAATGGTTATTAAAGGATGTACCAGTAACTGGCTCCTTTTACTTTTTTTTTTTTTCCCCACAATAGCTTTCTCGAGAACTTAATTTGTTTATTGACTATACATCTGGAGGACAGCTGAAAAAACTCAGAGGATTTAATTCTTTGTTAAATGCTGGTGATATTCACAGTAATCCCTGTAGAATCCTTTTCTATTTCTACAAAGCTTCCCTGGAGAAAGTCTGACAGAGAGATGACAGCATTGGCAGCCACTGCACACGGATATTTTTCCTGTGTTTGCCTTTAACCTGTCAAACAGATTTCACAGGATCATACTACTTATTAGGGGATGTGTTTCTCCTCTCTCTTACTTTCACTGTCTTTTCTACTAACACCAAGAGATCTCTGGCTAATCTGTGTCTTCTTTTCCCTCACGAATCTGACCAGTGTCTAGAAAAATGGGAAACCAATTTGTTCTGGAACTTTCCCATTTCTTCCACTTTACTACAGGTAACAAAACATAAAGGGACCCAGATACACCATCTTGGCTTAGGTCCATCTCACAGCAGAGTCTACAGTAGATCTATGCATTACCCCTTTGCCATTAACTCCTAATGACCTCTCAGATAAACACATGAATCAGTTCCCAAATGATAACCAGAGATGCCAAACAATCCCTACAAGCCATTCTCTCCTTCCACACTTTAACAGCATGGAATTTGCTTCCTGATATTCGACCACGAAGCAAGCGTGTATTTCCTGGAAACATCAGCCTGATAATGACTAGAATGTAAAACAAAGAAACTCTATCAAACAGTGCGTGCTGTAGGTGGCTGTATTCTTACTAGACAAATCCTCAGCTGTTTTAGGCTCTTCATGACAGAGGCAAGGGACCAGTAAGTTTGTTCTTATGTATTCTACTCACAGACAGCAGATTCTATAATGATACTTACTCTCCATATTTCTTCACGTTGTATTCATAACCTAAATAGGGACAAGAAATAGAACGAGCAGTTATATCCAGTCCAACCAACAGCTCCCACGTACCACTGACAGCACAGCAGCTATTCATCCTCTCTGCTGTGATGCTTTCAGTAAGCACTGTGCTGCACAGTAATTGTTTGCAGAATCACCTCTCCTACCACAGGATATTCCCCAGCACTCCAGAGATGGTGTTTTCCAGCACTCACCTCTCTGCCTGCGCTTGCGGGTGATGAAGACAACGATGATGAGCAGGACAATGAAGAGCAGCAGCGTTGCCAGGACGTAGCCCAGCTGCTGGAAGAAGTGGATGCGGCTCTCAGGGATGATGACGTTTATCACATTGTGCCCCCTGACAACATTTGGATCTGAGAACAGAGAAAAAAGGAATACAAGGCAATAGTTGTCACTGGCATTCAAAGCATGTTTGCAGGTGGGTCCATACGTGGAATTGAAAAGCATGTTCAGTGGCCATTGCACGTTCCCATGCTGCTGTCTGCTTATCAGAGTGCTGTTTTTGTTAACAGCAGAGAGCAAGCCTAGCAAGAAGCCACAACAGACAACCTAGAGTTGCTGTGGGGTAGCACAGCCCTCTTCTGGGTCCCTTGCAACACGCACACACCACATCGCTTCGGCTCCAGACAGCTGAAGTATGAAGCAGCCACTCCCAGCCAAGGGTTGTAATTTACAGAGTGGGAGGAATTTTCAATGCCAAAGAATGAGTTCCCTTTGAAATCAAATAAAAATCAATAAATAAAATAAAAACCCACAAAGAAAAGCCAAGATTCCATTCCACTTGTGGGTGCAGCAGCGCTGCAGTTCCTCAGCACAGGAAAGGGTAACTCTAAACTTTTACGTGGAACATTTTTGCAGTTCTCAAATAAATAGGTCAATGCTTTGCACACACAAAGAGAGCAACTTCTCTGCTTGCAACTGTCAGAAGAACGGATAAATCCAGGCACAGACCACAAAGCCAGGACACACTGTGCTGTGGAAGGCTTTTCTCTTCAGAATAGAGCTGAGTGCACCAGCAAGAGGTTTTGACCACTGTTCTCCTGGGAGTTTAACTCCAGTCAGAGGGAATAAGGGGAAAGATTGGGAAAACATCCCCAAAGCCACGCTGCCATTCAGCAATGTCTTCTGAAGTTAGCCTGCCTCAAGCAAACCAGCCAATAATAAGCACTGATTTTAACACTGGGACTAAGTAGTCATAGGGCTGAGAGTCAGGCAGCTGGTCTCATTTGTTATCAGACATGGAGACATGGCTTTGTGTCCAGCTAATTGTATTCCAACACGAACAGCCTTCCCCAGCAGCGTTTTGCTATTCCTCTTTAAGCAGAGCCACATCTCCAGCACCAGTTAAGGTCAGAACTGATCAGCACGAACAAGAATGTCGCAGTCGAGCTAAGCCAGCAAGTTCATCATTATTTCAACAGCTGGTTTTCCTTTTGAGGCCGTTTGGAAATGTTAGAAACTGCTCATTTCCATCAGCGCAGTACTGTAAATAGGCCGAGTCCTGAAACAAAATATTCCCCACAAAAAAATACAGCACCGAGAGCATTGATTTTGTCCAGCCTCACCCTCCATGGTAGCAGGGCAGGCAAGCAGCTTGTTAAGTTAACCAAACAAATCTCCAGATGCTGGATGCTTTGTGCGTGCTGGCTGTCCTGCTCAAAGCTAGCATGTATTTTTCACCACTAAGAAATACCAAACCAAAAAAGCCACTTGTAAAGCTGCAAACTGTGTATGTGACAGTTCTGCTTTAACAAACCTCTGCATCACGAAGGGTTTCTTCAGCAGCTGCCATAATGAGATGGTAGCCGTTGGATCAGCCATTGAGCCAGCAGACCTAAATGCATCCTATTCCTGGCCCTTTGCTTTCCCACAGTACTGCAGGGGAGGGTAGGATCTGAACTGAAACTTTATTCAATATCAGAGAGGACACTAGAATGGCAAGCTGCAAAACCAGATGCAGCTTTATTCTATCACTGACATCCTTCAGTGTGTCTCAGCTTGGTTTCCCCTTCTGCCTCCACTCCATTTACATGATCTCTCTGCTGGAAAAGAAGTCTTAATGGTGGGGAACAAAAAACTGGAAGAGATGCCTTCATGTTACCTTATCAAAATGTAGAAGGGTCAGATCTTTCAGCTGGAAAAAACAGAGCTGCACGATGAGAACTCACAACTGCTGGGTACGTGGCACATTTTCTTTTCTAGGCTGGCAAGGACTGAGAGTAGTTTTGCAAGATAGGCTATTCTTCAATCACTTGCTCCAAAACAAATGCAGAGTAAAAATACACTAAATTAGTAGGCATACAACACATTTATTCTGCTGGGACTTGGGAAAAGAATTGAATTCATGTTTATAGTTCAAAACAGGATGAAATTTCCTGTCTGGAAACAGCTCTGAGCTTTGGAGTTATGCCAGAAACGATAGCTGCTCGCTGAAAAAAAATCTCACTGCGTTGCTTTTGTTATCTCCTGATGTTTCATTTTGGCTTTAAGTTACAGCCCAGAAAATTTCTGCCCAGCTCTTCACAGAGGAGAAGTATCTCAGCCTTTGCTGCTATCCACAAACAGGCCGCCCATCAGTGAGGGGCTTGAAAAAGGCACTCCAGAATCTCAGCTCCTTTCCCTGTTCCCATCAACTCAGCACATTTTTGTGCCTGGTGCTCTCAGACCAGCTGATCCCTTCCTGCCCCCAGGGAATAAAGCTCCTCGAAGGCTGTTCTTTTCAGTGCTTTTCTCAGGAAGGCAAATTCCTTCAGCAGTGGGGCACTACTTCCAAACCAAGCGAGCCCAGCAGGCTGTATTACCTGCAGGATCTGCCAGCTGGGCAGGTGGTAACCATTCAGCCACAATCAGGACAGTGAGAGGAAGATTTCTGGATGGGTAATGATGTAGTTTCCATCTGCACAGTGGGTTTTGATAGGGCTCAAGGGTAGCAAAAGAGCCGGATGCAGGGAGACTGATAGTTGTGTGTTCTGGTCCCTGTGTCAGCACAGCCCCAGTGGCCACTCCTCTTCAGTACAGCCAGGATTTCTGGCCACCAGCCTTAGTCCCAGTAGGGAACTTTGGGCTTCTGTGACTTGAAAAAAAAAGCTAATTGCTAGAGAAGAATAGACATATCTAAAAATGTATGAATCATAGAATCACAAGCTTGGAAAGGAACTACAACATCATCTAGTCCAACCGTCCTCCAATCACCATTACTACCCAGTAATGTCCAAATTCTGTAGTAAGCAGCCAATAAACATTAAGTCACAACGAGTATTTTAAAATGTGAATATGGAACTATACCTAAGGGATTTTCATATATACGTTTTTTAAAACTTGAGATTTTATTTTTCTGCCTGAACTAAGCATGATGGTTTGGGGTTTGGACAGGCTGTCAAATGATAGCTCACTGCAGTGGAAAATGTGAAAATTGGCTTAAGAAAAGAAAAAAAAGCTGAAGGGTGGAGGAAAATTCCTGGTGGTTGATTCTGCAAAGTCTGGCACCTGGCACAGCCTGAACCCCTGAGCAGCAGGGTGGGAAGTGCTTATACAAACAGGGGCATGTTGTAACAGCAAAGGCAGCACAGAACCGACCCCCTACTCCACACCCTCTCCTGTTTTATAAAAGTAAGCAGAAAAGGGAATCTGTTAGAAAAACAGTTTGCTTGCTTTAGGGTGCTTAAGCACTGCAGAGCAGAGCAAACAGCAGCAGGACATGATGTCACTGCAGTACAGCAGGCAGTGTAGTTAGCCCTGGTGGGTGGGACGCTCCACTCTGGGTGCAGCTCAGTGTTAAAGCAACACCAGAGAATCCTCACTAATATTTTGTAGCTCCAGGTACACCACTGTAATGGGAACATCTCAGTAAGAATGCAGTCCACACATTAGAGCCCTGCACCAGTAGTGAGGGAGGGAGGCAAGACCTCATCTAATTCTGTGATTTTAAGGGCAGGAATTGCACGTGGCTCAAATAGGAGAAACCATACAGGAAACCCCAGCATCGAGTGGCACCTTCAGTTCAGAGGTGTCTGTGGTACTTCTGCAGGGCACAGGTTTGCCTTGACCACACTCCCTCCCCCCTCCTGCAGTCAGAAGCACTGCCAGAAGCCACTCACCTATGGCCGGGGCAGTGTTGTGAGTAGTGAGGTTCACCACCTTCTTCTCTCTCACTGGCTCTGTCACAAAGACCTGGTAGATCCTGCGCTCATGCAGGCCACAGTAATGATGGTGCAGATGGCAGGAATAAGTGCCTTCATCTGCATTTTCCAGCTCAGAAATTCTCAGGGAAAAGTCACCCAGGGCAAAGGCTGTGTCTGTGATGTTCATCTTCTGCCGAATGAAGAGAGGCCCGTAAGAGCGGCGCTCACCAGAGGCATACAGGTCAATGAGGCGGTCAGCACGGTCGTGGGGAACCCCTGGGGGCTGCCTGTCCCAATGGACCACTTGCTGCTCCTCTTCACTGTGCCGTTCGGTCCAGATGTGGTTCCGGTTGATACAGGGGAGCATCACAGTACTGCCTTCCAAAGCAACAATCACAGCTTTCTCTCCATCCCAATATTCTTTTGCTGCTTTGGCTGTGGAAATAACACATGCATCTTTACCCATTTGTCTCATGCTTAAGGACTCCCATGAACACCTAGGGTTGCTCTCAGACCCTGCAATCCTATAACACATCCTCTGCAAAGGTCCTGAAGTGCCACAGATTAACATGCCTCACTCACACTCAATTCAGCACATAGTGAACAAAGGCACCCATATCTTCACATCCCAGGTGGGTGCATTGAGCACAGCCATTTCCTTTCCTTAAAAGTGAGAATTCATCTCTTGCTTCAGAACGAAGGAAGAACATTGTCTCAACAGACCATGAATGGAATAAGAATAACAGACTCCATCTTCTATACACTCGATTCCCCAAGCAGGAAATGCTTTCCTTCCCACAAATACCCTAATTACTGAAGAAGTTCAAGGAACACTGTTCTGTGTTTTGTTCTTGAAAAAGGAATAACAGAAGAATCAAAACGCAGATGAGCAGTCCAGGGCTCACAGGCCAGCCTGGGTGTTCTCACTGCATAGAAGCTGTGAGAACAGCAGCAGGGGTGCACTTCTTTTCTACCCCATCAGTTTTTTAAACAACTCAGCACTTCAGCTGCTTCCCAGCACCATCAGCCCCAGCAACCTTACTTGTGCACTATGTGTAAGTCGATTTAAATAACTTAAGTGTTTCTGTGGTGTAGGTGGCACACACTGAGGTACCAACAGCCCTTAGAAACTTCCTTCCAGAGCTAGAGCCAAGGGTTTTGTTTGTTGTTTTTTTTTCAACAGGCTTCTCAAGCTAAGCTCAGCAGTCCGTGTTACAAGACAGATCTTTGTGGCTAACTTGACTCATGATGGATTGTTATTAGGAATGTTTTATTGCTGGAGCATTGACAGCCCAGTTAGCTAACTGGGCTGGTTAGTGTACAGTTAAAAGGCTTTCTAGAGTTGGGCACAGGCCAAGAAAGGAAAGGCTTTCATAAAAACATATGCTGATCAAAATTTCTGATATTCAGGGAACCTAATAGAAAACCACATAGTAAGCACTTCTGCCTCCTGATACACTGCAAGATTCTTGTAGCACCTGTGTGCTGAGCTGCAACAGAGCAGGCATGGGCAAAAAGCCTTCATCCACAATGCTCTCTGATGCTAGCAGAATAGCATGCAGTACCAGCTGTGAATCAGCACACAAGCCCCACTGTGAATTCAGCTCAGACCTGGGGACCACTGGACTTCAGCTGCCAGACTTGCCCTTGCAGAAAAGGACACCATGCTGTCACACCTACCTTTCTTGGTGATATCTAGTTGAATTTTCACAGTTTCATACAAGTGGCAGTAGTGATGGTGAAGATTACAGGAATATATACCTGCATCACTCTCTGCAACATCTAGTATAAGAGAGAAGAGAGGACAAGTTGAACGTTTCATGCTGAGCCAACTACTTTTGTCATTTATGCTATTCAACAAACGCTTGCACAGAAGCAAAAAGACCTTTGCAAAGCCTAGGGATAAAAGAGAAAAAGATCCTGTTTAGTACCTTTGATCACCAGTGAAAAGTTGCCATCTGTAAATGCATTCTGGGGCATTAATATCCTCCCTTGGTTGTAGGAGCTGTAGACACGCTGCTCTCCTGCTGAGTACATGTCACACAGCCTCTCCATCTTGTTATCTCCATAGTAGGTGCTGTACACATCCCAGTGCACCACACGTTGGCGGTCATTCAGACGGTCCTGAGTCCACATCATGCGGTAACTCTTGCATGGCAGGACAGCCTGTGAGCCCCGGGTAGCACTGATGTTTAACACTGACACTACAACACTGTCTGGGTTTGAGGCATCAGCTGGGACTGAGGGCGAGGAGCAAAGAAATGAGGTTATCACGTTAATGGCAGGTAAAGAAGGGATTAGAGTGAGATTAGGTCCTGTCCTAGAATCTCTGCACCCAAAAGAAACCCATCTGAAGGAAAGTTTCAAGAGCAACACAGAGCTCTCTAATGGAGAAATACAATATTATTATTATTTTTTAATTTAAAAAACATTGATTTCATTCAATAAAAAATGTCTGTTATGAGGATCCTAAATCTGACCCATCATACCTACCCTTTCCTTGTCTTAATGCTCAGTTAGATCAGTGATTAGAGGCATCAGCTCATGGTGTGCATGGCTGGTGCCTACAGAAGTTACCCATGAAATCCCCATCACATGGACTCTGATTTCATAACACCAAATTTCTTCGTATGGTGACAGAAACCCATGTAGATTACAAAGATGCCACTCACCTGAATATAAATAAACAACAGAACCTGTTAAAGCAGATAAAAAAAAGAATGTCAGAATTAAAGATGCAAAAAAAAAAAAACCAAAAAAAAACAAACCATAACAAATGCATTTCTGGTCAGCCACCATCTCCTGTTATTATTCCATCTGATACTCCCTTTGTTGTTAACACACTTATTTAACATAGGTATTGTGGTTAAGCTCAGAGACTGTGAGCTTGCTTGGTGCTTGCTGCCTGGGAGAAGTTCTCTAACACAAAGATAAATGCTCTATCCTTCCATAAAGGACAGTCAGCAGCAGGGATAAGAACCAACAACAGCCCTGGCCTGGGCTCACCATTCAAATCCAACTCCTATAACTGATAGGGAGGTTAATTCCATCCAAGGAATCAAAATCCCTGAATGCTGCAGGATGCCTTGACAACCTGTCAAGCTGAGCGTGATGCAATGTGGCTGTTCTGCTTTGCACTTGTGACACACATTGCTGCCAGACACACACAGACGCACTCCTGTGTGCCTCCTGCTCACATTCCTGGTCTGCACAGTTGACCATCAATGCTCTGGAAGCAACCACAACTCTCTCCAACTCGCGTGACTCAGATGTACGCAGGAAGAACTTTGTCAAAATGAACTGATGGCTTTGTTTCTGCATCCCCCTGGCTCCATCCCTCCTGCTTTTTGTGTAGGAGGGGTCTGAGAGGTCTCCTGGCATCATGCTTGGAGAGCACGAATCGGATTCCCAACACAATGACATCATTCATCTCTCTAACCAGTCAAGTCCAAGTGGGTTCTAGCAGAATAATTAGCTGTTTTGTCCTGCTAATGTCATAGGCACAATTCCTCCTGACAAAGGCTGCATTTTTTTTTTTTTTTTCAGCCCTGGCATTTATTCACTCCAGATCAGGGCTATAAATTCACTCCAGATCGGGGCTATTTTAACAACACCATCAGTGCACGGGCTGAGAATAAACTCTGTTTCTTTTCCTTTTCCTATCACAAAATACTGGGCAGTGACACCAGAGAACAAAAGTGAGCAGCATTCTCTGTTGAGCTGCCAGCTCAAAGACAGTCCAAATGTAAGGAATTCTTTCTACATCTGTAATCTCAGCATCATAAAGAAAACAAATTCCTTGGACAGAGCCTGTACAGCTCTGGATATAAGAAAAGACATCCCACTGAGACATTATAACCCCATTATTTGATGGTATCTGCTAATAGGCTGCAAAATACCTGATGGTAAAATACAACAAGCTGCCAGCACTGCCCACGTGCCCAGAGCTGGTGGCAGAGTGACATGGGAACAGCACAGCATCACAACATGGCAGTTTGCGTGCTAGGAAGTGAGCTGGCTGGTTGCACAGCCAGTTCTTCCAGAGCTTTGCTTTAATGCTCATTGACAGCAAGCTGATTTGGTGCTGCAGAAACATCCTCTTCTGGCTGAGCAACAGGAATGCATTTATTTCCCTTCCTTTCCTCTTGCACGTTAATGTAAAAAACACTGAGCCCAAATGCAGCACCGTAAACCTAACATCTGACAGACATCCCTCTAAGCCTTCCAGTGTGCTCTGCTCAGCAGCCTGTCCTTCTGCTTCTGCACCTTTGTGCACGCTGTGCTGGCCCTGCTGGCATGGCAAGGACCACCCAGCCCTCTCTGCTCCATCCATGAGGGCCAGGTTGGCTGCTGGCAGAACACCAGCATCCTTCCAGGAGTGCCCCTCAGTGACCAGGGGACATTGTTTCTTTATAGGAAAAGGGAAAAGCATCTGTTGAAGCCTTGCCTGCCTCTTACCATCCTCCTAATTTGACTTGCTGGGTGCTGCCACACAAAGATGGCCCTGGGTGACTGTCACTAGAACAAAGACCATGCAAGATGCTGGCCTGATGAAACACAGCAGCCAGCAGCTGAAGCTCTAGAGGGGACAGAAGGGAAAAGGCATGTTGCAGGCTTTACAAGAGCCATGGGAACTCCACAGCACAAAGAAAGCAGAACTGATTGTGATGATTCCCTGTCAGTGTTGGAAATCTGAATGCATACACTGAGTTATTTGAGATGGCTGTAAGTGAAATAGCTTATAAATCAAAGGAATCTGGAATGTCTCTGATCTCTTATGTGCCTGGAGAAAAAGGAATTTAAAACAACTGGTTTTTAATAAACTGGGCACAGAGCAATAGTTAAATATGAGATTTGCTCTGCTATGTGAGACCCAAAGTACATTCCAAAGAAAGACATGCCCCCCCAGCCTGCTTTCAAAGTTATTGTTTGTGTAACACAGTTGCTCCTGAAGATAACCAGCAATATATCCATAAACCAGCAAAATTAACAGCTTTCTGAGCTACAGGAGTGGGACAGACTGGAAGCAGTTATATTGGTGAGTCACTACCCAATGTGCAAGTATAAAATCAAGGATTATTTATGCACCTAATGGTAGCTCAGTCTTTTGTGCTCATGGGACTCCAGCAGTTTCAAAACCACCAAATACCTTAAGAGTTGCTAACAGTAGCTTCCATTTTTAAATTTCCAGTTCCGTGTGGAGGATAATCACTTTGACCTCTGTGTGATATACTTTAGAAAAAAAGAGACAGACATTTATCTGCTATCCCCTGACTTGTTCCCTGCAGCCTCTCAGTAGGATCCCCAAGGTATTCTGCTGCTCCCACAATATAGGAAGAGGAAAGCAGCCTGCGAGTTTCCTAATCCCTTGTAAAAGGCAGAGCCAGCTCTTACAGCTTGAATCTCTTTCATAGTAAAGAATCAGGCCACAAAAACTGCAAGCAAACGACAAGGAAAAGCCTCGGGCTCTGAAAGACATCTTACACACTCGGGGATCTTGAGGCTCTGTCCTCAGAGCAGTTCAAACAGAAACCTGCCCCCTGAGTCTTGCCTGAACAAGAGCACAGCTCCTCTTCTCCCTGAGATAGCTGCTGGCAGAGGCAAAGCCTGTGCTAATGAAACCACCAAGTTCCTGTCTCACACTGAAAGATATCACAGCACAGAAAAAGGAACAGCAAACACCTTAGCAGCAGCCTGAGTGCCAAATGGCACACGTGCTCCATGGGACACGGTGAGGGTTTTGCCACTGATGCCAGGATAAGCTGCCTGAACAGCATCTTCCCTTATTCTTCCCATAAACCCCACTGCTTCTGCAGGAGATTTAATGGTCTCCATTGAGTTATTACGTAATTACCTCAAAAACAGAAGCTTGTGCTAACAGGCTATTTCCAGATCCTTTTGGAGAATGGCAGAGAGTCCATCCTGACTCTTCAGGGAGTTGACACAGTGCCTAAGAGGCCATCGTGGTTTATGACACAGTCACATCGAGGTGACATCCACACAAATGAGCTCAGCACTATTGCTAAAGCCACTTTTTTAACACACAGATCAGTAGCCAGAAACACCACCTTGGGCCCATCTCTAGGCAGAGATGGTGAGCAATAAAGTTCCTTGTCTAAACAAAGTTTTCCCTACAAAGCCAACTGATGACCAGGCCAGGCTTTGAACTGGACTTCTATCTAAGTCTCTGTAATTGTTTATTTTTAAAGCTTGCTGGGACAAGTTTCTCACCAGCTGAGCATACTGCTTTCAAGGATGCCTGCAGTGGAGCTGCTGGCCACCCACCCAGCCCCAACCATCCCTGCACCTCTGCAGGTAGCAACGTGCTGTGAGTTGGCAAAAAGCAAGAATGTGCTGCCTCAGCAGAAAGGAAAAAGCCTCCTGTCTGGACAAGAAAGCAATCACACCTTGGCCACCACACAGCCAGGATCCCACGTAGATCTGCCCTGACTTCCTTGCAGACAGCTCGGATATTAGCTCAGCTTTGTAAACCCTTTTCTGGTTCGTGTACTTGACGTTGGCTCCAGGCCCATGGAATAGTTTGCAGAGCCATTCCAAACACAGCACTGTTCCTCCTTGCAAGATATTAACACTTGAGGGTGTGGTTCTTCTCCAAGCAGGATCATCTCAGCAAACGCAGAGACACAGATTTCCTCCCTTCTCTCATTACACTAACCTGACCTGGGTGGGTACGGCAGCACTCAGCATCACGGTTCTCTCTCCAAAATACACCCAAAGATGTCCATGAGAGATCGTCCATCCTGTGGTGGGATACTGCTGGCTCTGTGCTGTGCAGCAACCCAACCTGCTGTTCCTGCCCCAGGCACTGTTAACGTGCTCAGCCACACTGGGGAGCAGCTGGACTGGTTGGTGCTTCTCCTCCTTCCTCCAGCTTAACCCACCCCCCCACACTACTTTTCTGAGCCACCATAATCCTTCTGTCCCTATGACTGATTCCATTCCTAACCCTTGCCTTTAGACATCACAACATCGGGGATGATTTGGTGACAAGAGCACTACATTAAACAGGGACCAAACTGAGAACTCTGTATACTGAGAAATTTTAAGAGGCTCAGGTGGAAAGCCACAGCCTTTCATTAAGGGCTGTGAGAAGCAGAAGGGTCACTGCCCCCCAAAAAGCTCATGCTCCTCACTTCCTACTGTCAGCACCTGGAATGAGGTCTTTCCATACTGTTCTTTGAGCTGCAATTCCTCCTTGCTCACAGGTGCCTTCCTTAGACCCCAAGGTCTTGCAAAGATAGATTTGCTTGGGTTTTACAATTTATCCTTATGTCTTCTCCTGCCTTCCAAGCATTACTGACTGAGGTCTCTCTGCTCAGTTTGGGATCAGGCTCTCAGGATCTGTTTTCAGACCCTACAGAAAACTGTGGTAGAGGAAAACGTACAAGTCACTGTTACTGTGCATTCATCATACTTGCCCTCATCCCTCTCCTGTAGCTTAATGTCTAAGTGAATTCCTATCTATCTTTATGCTGACAGGGAATAAAAACTTTCATTAGTACCTCCATCCTGAGTGCACAAATGTATCAGCTGTTTCTGCCCCTTCAAAAGTATAAAATAGCCTTGGACCCTGTAACTCTAACTATCCAAGATTTACAGTACTCTCCTTTAAGCTTACTGCTTTTGAATTTACAATTAAAGTAACTGAGAGGAAGAAATACATTTCACAAACATGCTGAATGAAGCAGCATTTAACCTCAAGTATTTCTCCATTCTTTCCTTTCCTCTCAAAAAAGCCTGAGAACTCCATAAATCTTTCCCCTCGCAGACCCAAACCCAGCTAAACAAGGAACCTGAGCAAAATCTAACAAAGATAACAGTTCAAAATCTCTCTAATCTCCAGCCCCATCCTCTGCAGCTGAAACAGAAACAAGTAACATCACACCGACCAGCTAGGAGCTTACTTTGCTGAAGCAAAAGCTGCCACAGGAGGAGTTTTGCTAGTTGCTCCATTCCTTCAGCTTCTCCGTGTTTCCGTCTCTCTTGAAAAACAAGTTGAAGACTTTTAAAAAACTTTTTTTTTTTTTTTTTTTTGCTAACTGGAAAACACTATGACCTCATCAATTTACATCCAGAAAGCTGTGGACAGCAGCTCATATTCTGCAGTTACTCCACCTACAAGTCCTAACTCCCCACCTCCCCACTGCTCTCCCCCACGCTCACACTCCACCTCCTTCCTCTCCATAACTCTCCCTGCACAGTTACTACAAACACCCACTCCTCTCCTTCCCCTCCCTCTGGGACCTGTCTGACTTTGATGTAAAACTTTTATCGGCTATGGTTGGTCCCACACAGATCTGGGCTCTAGAAACAAATCTTTCTCCCTTCCCCAGAGGATGAAACTAATTTTCCTTGTGCTTTACTTGATCCAGCTGTTCCTTCCTTTGTTTGACACTCGTCCAGCTGTCTGCTCGAGACAATTTATTCTGTTGCCTTCAGTGGTTTTTTGATCTTTGTCTCTTCATATGGTTTTACTTTAAGCTCAAGTCTCAGGAGACAACCTAGAAAACAATGTTTACCCTGTCCTGTGATTTGTAAACAAGGACTTAATAGCAACTATCTCAGCAAGAGGGTAATAATGGCAAAAGACTGGGTATGTGGGAGCTTAGGGCAGTGCAGGCAGAGAAACCTAGAACACAAACAAAGCTCCAGACCAGTGCAACGTGGAGAACAGGATTTCCTGTCAGACCTGAACACAGAAAACTTGGGTGAACAACTCCATCACTGAGAACAATTCCATCACTAAGAATGCAGTTTAATTCACTGTAGTTGGTAAAATACATTGAGTTGGATTATTCACCACCCAGCTCCGTGAGGCACCGTGGCTCTGAGAGGCTCAGGCATTGCTTTAGGTCAAGCACATGGTTCCACCTCCACCTGCCCCTGAGCAATCCCAACAGCATAACCCATGCAGGTGATCAAATGAACCTGAAAGAGTCTTCTCATGCAAGACTTGCAGGAAAATTACATGCCTAGACATTCAGGAGACAGTGCAGGTGCTGCTAATAGATGTCAAAACGCAGCAAACTTCTCTGCTCTTATTATGATGTAAGATTGCTGTTGTTTGTGGTTAGCAGTGTTTAGCAGATTTAACTATACAATCAAATTAGTCATCAAGTGGAAAATTTAGGGGAAAGGGACATTTATGAGTGATGTTACAATTCCATCTGTAGAACAGAGCTAAATATATGTGGGATTCTCATATGAGAGCTTAAAAATAAAACCTAACCCTTCCCATGGCACTCATGGAGAGAAACTCAATTGCCCCACTTGCATTTTTCCATGCTGACATTGGCCTGTTCCATCTATTTACCCTATTCCAGAGAGGGCTGTGCTTAAGGAAAGAGGAGGGCATTATCCTTTCAACCAAAATCTAAACAAACATCTGAATGCTCTGCAACAAGAGTAGTACTGGGAGCAGCCAGACTAAATCAGACCAGAACTTCACCCAGTGTAGTGCCCTCTCCAGCAGCAGATGGAACCAGGCACTTCCAAGACATTCCAAGAAACTGAAGCTATTATTATTATTAAATAGTTTGACCATGAACAAAGCTTGCATTAACCCCAGCATGCCTTTATACTGTCCAAAACAGACCCAAATTACAATTAATTTGTTTCCGGAGAAACATTCTAAAACCACATTCAGGTAAGAACCCTATGAAATTTCACTGCCAACTTCAACTCTTACATATTTCTATTCAATGGGGAGTTGTGGGAAATTAGACACAAATAGTCACTCACAGTGCAAGCTCCCACGCTCCCCAGATGAGCTGTGTCAATAGCCTGGATGCTCACACATCCAGCCCAACTGCAACCTAAACACACAGACTTACTTTTTGCAAGCCTCAGATATTTGCATGATAATTCCATAAGCGCTTGCATGCAGCAAAGCCTCCTGCACACCCCCCAAAATTAAAACTTGCTGCCAATTGTCAGGCATCACAGCAAACACTTTACTGACCGACAGAAGCTGAGAGCAGCTTGGGGGCAGCAGCAGCCTTCCTGGAGCCTGTCAGATCAGGCAGTAGGGCTGAGGCTCAGATCCGACAGCTGCACCATCACAGCAGAGCCTGGGAAACGTTTGGCAGGAAGACAAAAAGCTGCTCCCATTATGCAGGTTGCAAGCACAGCACCCTGTCCTTCCCTCCATCCTTCCCAGCACTGCAACCTCAGGTTGCCTTCCCATCTCTCTGCCCCCCACCCTTGGCACTGCAGTGGTTACTGGCTCTTCTTGCCTGCCTGCTGGGATGGATGCAGAGCTCTGTGGTTGCTGCTGTCACGAATTGGCTATTTCCTGGCTGAAGGAAGCCAAGTTCAGGCCAAACCCACTGCAGCCTCCCGAAGAAAACAGCCCAGTGGAAGAAAGGAGGAACAGCTTCCCTGGGGTTCAGAAGGGGAGTAAAGGGACACAGATTCCTGCCCTTTTCTCACTCATTCTGTGCAGTCTCCAGTCTGCCTTATGCTCCTAGAGCCTTGCTGCACGAAAGAGATCCCCAGCATGCAGCTGCACCAACACTGCCCCATCAGGTGCTGAGCATTTAATGCGATTCTCCATACAAGTCAGGCTAAGAGACTCTGGTCAAGCAGTGGTATTTTGGGTATTGATTCTCAAAACAAGAAGCATCCCTTCACTGCCCACTGCAGCACAGCCTGCCATCTGCCCCACCACAAAGCCTGTCCAAAGCAAGCAGCTCATCCATGTGTGGGGAAGGTATGGAAGAGGTTTTGCTTCTAGGAGCTCTGCACCTGCCGTGCTCAATGCAGGTCAGGGAGAAAGGCTCTTCTGTTCCAGTCATCCCTATTTCACCTAGAAATGCTGGTGACTCAGGTGGAAAAAAGCCCTGCCCAAAGGCAGATTAATTGGCTTGTGGGAAGCAGTAATGAGCAAGCCACATCTGCCAGGCACTTTGCTGTTCCTGATCCCTTCCATTTGAACATTTTTGTTTTCCGTGCCTGCAGGCACTGCACTGACAGACCTCCCAATACATCTGGCCTGAGCACCAGTCCAGAAAACTGAGCAAATATCAGGTCTGATGCAAAGAGGTGTCCTTCATCCTTTCTTGTCATTTTGAAAATCATTAAACTTGGGAAGCAGGAGGAAAAGCAGTCACTTCCACCCTACTTTCACTGCTATAAGTACACGTAATGCACTGAAAAGGAATGCCAGGATTAAGGCTCTGTTGACACAAAGACACAAATTAAAGCACAAGGACTTACATGCATGACCTGTCAATGCTCCATGTTTGTATTACCAGCAACTTCCCTACATCTTCTCTAAATGTGAAACCTGTTGCACCATGCTACCATCAAAGGAAAACGGAACAGCTCCTCCCAAAAGTAAAAACAAGGATAATTTTTTAGAGGAAAAGTAGCAGGGAAAGCTACAGCTTGGGAAAAGAGTACTGACAGGTACAGGGGCAAAACCAGCATGGATCCTGCCAAACCAAAAGCACAGAGTTCTGCATGGAAGCAGCAAAAGAGGGAGAGGCAGGGAGGGATAGTGCAGTTGGGGGCTCCAGTTTTGGGGCAGAGGAATCTTCAGACCTGCCTGCTGATGGAAAAGAGCAACATAACACAGAGCCACATGAATTACCAGAGGGTGTGCACTTCCCAGGAGGCTTCATTTGGTTGCAAAGCTTTTCTTATTAAAATAAATCTTTCAGCTGCAATGAATCCCATAAACAAGGCTGAAATAATCCAACTTGCAGCAAGAGCTGTGAACTAAAAGGACAAAACTGAGAGCCAACCACAATGACAGGGCTGTCAAGTGAAGCCTGTCATTATCCCAGCAATGTAACAAGCAGCATCTCTCTTACACACCCAGCAATACAATGTTTATTCTCTGTTCCCTAGTTGTAAATGCTTGTGCCCCTGATTTGCATTCTCCTAAGACCGTGTTCAGGATGACGAGTTGAGAGTTTGGCCAGATGTTTTTCTGCTTTGTTTTATTCCTCTGGAGACCACTTTATCCCCAGCCTGTGTTATCTACCACCAAACCAACAGCTGAGGCAAATGCACAGTGCAAGAAAGGCAGATCTCTGCCAGCCTCCTACTAAGTACATACAAAGGAGTTTTGTAACAGTCAATAGCTTCACTTGTATAGTATCCCTCAAACAACCAATTTCCAGCAAAGAGAAAGATGGAATCCACAAACCCACCACGTTGTAGCCTCTGCAATGCTCTGTGCAAGCATTTCTGAAGCAAAATGACAGGGCTGCCCAGGAGCAGTATGTGTTACCCTGTCATTTGCAGGCAATTCCTCAGCTTCTGCCTGTCTCAGCCCTCCAACTGAAAAGCTCCATCTCCCTATGTGCCAAACTCATTGATGCGATGTGATGCAGCAATAATAGAGACCTTCCAGGTATGTAAGGTATTTAGGCAGATGGAATCTTAAGAGGATTTTGATCTTCTGCTTAATGCACTGAGCTTTGCTTCTTTGCCAAGCGAAGACCTTGATATACACTAAGGAAGAGTTAAATTCCAGCATCCAAGCAAACTGCTCTTAGCAAACAGAAAGGTGTGCCTATGCCTGTGTGTGTTCCTGAGCTGCTCTAAGTGTGAGTGCCCAGGTAAGAGCACTGTGTGCACCCTTTGCTATCTCTGCAGCTCAGAAATTCCTGTCATCCTGCATCTTTAGATGCCACTGTATTTAAACTCTCCTTTTTGTTGGAAAGCTGTCAGCTGCAGATTCCTGGGATTCATCTCAAAACCATTAATATGAACCAGTTACAAAAACAGAGAAATTGCCCAGGAAACCAACTTTTTTTTTTTTTTTCTTTCCAGACTGAAAACTGAAGATTATTTTTCCAAGATAAAAATGTGCTTTGGCGATTCTTCCATAAGATGGAATCCAAAAGGCTGGGTTTGGTGCAGGGAGAAAAGACAAGTGGATTTCTGTGCCCCAAAAAAGCTATCAGAGGCAGATAGCCAGCAGGTCCAAATCTGCAAGCTTGTATGAACTACCATGGAGCTCTGTTTATATCCACTCAGAGCCTCTCTCATCAAACCCCCAGTTGCACAAACACTTCAAGACCTATCAGATCATGAATCCTACTGCTAGCAAGCTTTAGGTAATAGTGACATTAATTTATCACTTCCATTAAAAGAAAAGAATGTAGGGAGAGTCTCCCTGCCTTCACCTTTTCTTTCCTGTTCATCTCACACAGCTCTGCTTCACCAGATGGATTTTTTTGGTGCTGAACAGATTTGCCAACAGATATAGTGTTTCATGCCATTCACAGCCTGTGAAAATCACTGTCAAAAACCTGTAAACAACAAATCCTTTTGACAGTGCTTTTGAATCAGTGTCAAGTTTCACAGTCTTCCAAACAAGCACCTGAATCAGACGCAGTTAGGCAAAATCTTAATTAAACCCCCATAGATTAATACATGTTTTCACTGAATTGTTTTGTTGTTTTTCTTCTTTTCTTTCTTTCAAGATACTTGAGTGCATCCCCCTCAATCATAGCAGGCCAAGGCTTTGTCTAAGGTACCTGATTGAGGGAGCACTAGCCTCAATCAGAAAAAAAAAAAAACAAGCAAGCAGGGAAATCAGAATAGAAACAGAGCAGCCTCTCATTCTATGTTTGCAAGGGTCTTTCTTTTGGTGGCACCAGACTTGTGCTCATTTGCTGACAGGGCAGGCTGGGTACACAGCACAGGCAGCTCCTCATAGGAAAAGTTTGCAGTCTAAACAGACAGGAGCAGCAGCGAGACACACAACACAAAAGGAAATGACTCACCCAGGCTTGCACAGCAGATCAGTGGCAGAATTAGGAATACAGCCCAGACCAGCTGCATTAGTACCTCAGTCTGTAGACTGTGCTGCCTCTGTCCTCACGGGGAGCCTAGAAAACTCTGGCACTATATGAGGGCTCACTGCACAGAAGACTGATGAGGATGCAGACTGAAGGGCAGAGTCGGACAAAATCTTTCCTGTCTTTCTGCTCTGGAAAGCTTCAGTGATACAAAGAGCTCTAAGACAGAATGCATTTGGGTAGGACTGTAATTTTTAACTTCAAAATGGCCCATGGCATCCCTCTTACCTCTCAGATTTTTGCAGCACTCTGATTCCCCAAGGAGAACCACACTCATTACTACCTGCTGCCTCTTTTCACATCACAGCAGGGAAAATAAACTGTTGTTGTTATTGGTTTGTTGGTGTTGGTTTTTTTTAAGACACAAAGTATCTAACTATCTCTCAGCTTATGGAGAGCCAGTAGTGCCTTCAACACATTGATATTAGCTCAAAATCACATGAACCATGAAGTTCCTGAGGGGATGGAAAAACATGCAAATCTAAATTGGAGTTCCCATCAATCATAACTTCAAGAGCTGGCTCTGTGCATGTATATGCATCTGTTCATCTTCCCCTAAGGTTCACAGCAGCAGCCAGCAACTGTGTGCTGCTGGGAATCGGGGGGAGGAGGGGGTTTAGAGCCCCTAAGGTGCTATTACTTGCATCTCCATGCACCTAAATCTTTTAGATCTATGCAGAAAAACCACCTCCCCCAAAATTAACTTCTTGATATCAAGTGCCTGAGACAGAAGGGCATCCAACCTATGACATGGGACTGACTCAGCCCCACTGGAGCTGTGGTTCTGTAGAGTCTTCACTTTTTCAAACCTATCCCGAAACCACTAAGCCCCCTCTAGGGGACAGAGGCTTAGAATTGGTCCAATTTGGCAGATGGCAAACAGCATTGAGAATCAGGAGGAAATAACAGAGGGATCTCATCACCCCTTTGAACATTTATTTAGCCAGTGTGTTTGTCTTCAGAAAAGTGAGAGAAGGCAGCAGCTGAGATAAGCAGCATTCCACCAAGCTGTTACTCATCCCTATAGACAAAGCTCCAGAATTTTCCATATTTCAGAAAAAAAGAGGCACCAGACAGGCAGACCTTGGGTCTCATTTTTCAATTCAGTAGCACTTCCATGTAAAAAGGCCTTCACTTTGCCCACCTCTTCATTTCAGATCTCAAGGCACTTCACAGGGAAGTCGTTAAGCCTACACAAAAGGAAGGAGGAGCTGAGGGAGAGATTGGAGAAATAACTGGTCCATGGGACACAGAACATTCTGAAATCCCATATCACTGCCCATCCTCCTGCTCAGTCACAGCAGGCTCTGACGAGGAACTTACCAAGAACATATTAAAAGCAATCACTCACAAGCAGTGCTGACTCAGTGCCACAGAAGATGACTGAACAGAGAACCTTTTCCAGAGCAGCTCTCCAGCAATCTCCTCCACAGGCAACAGTAGGTCAGGTTCCTCTAACACGAGAAAAGCTTAAGCCACAAGCACACAGCACATATTTCTGTGAAGAACCAAAAAAGTTCTCAAAGTATTCAGGGAAATGGGCACATTCAGCTATTTATGTCACTTTGTGTCCCCTTTTTGACCACCAGCACTGTGCCTCAACCACATCTCTCAGTCCCTCTCTACATGGGAACAGTGTTCTGGCACTAGGAGCTTTGGAAGGAGAACTCCAGTTCCCACACTAATTGCAGCTCATCTGTTGCACCCGCCTAAAATAATTAAGCAGTGCAATTCCAGGCACAGCATCTTATTTTGAGATCAGAAATGACTGGGAAAGAGTGGAAAAATTAAGAGGTTGACTCTGAAAAGGGCGCTCAAAGGTTGCTTCCCAGAGAGTTGTGTTATCTACCTCAGGTTGGCAGGCAATTTCATTTGAAATAAAAATAGTTAGGCTGAAAGGAGGTTCCTTTGTGTAATACAATATAATCCTGCTGCCAAATTTAGATGCACAAACATGGAGCTTGGCCAACTTGTAAGGGTAGTCCGTGGAAACCATGCATTTACTCTAGATCAATCCAAGTGCCCAGAACTTGGGCATACAAACCTACCTGACTGAACCAGCATTGCTGCTTCTATCCAGACACCTGAGTGTTGTACCACATCACCCATTTCAGAGCTCCCCTTCAACATAAGCACAAGGTAGAAATAATGTTCCAGTTACTTAAAACTTGCAGCTCTACTCCAGAAGCAGCTGTCCCTACTCTGAAAACTAGATACATGTTTTTATTTGCTCTCCTTTCTACTGAGAGTGAGGCTGGGGAGTAATCAGAAATCACAGAGATAGTACTGCACCCAAGGCAGAAATAATGACATGGGGCTTTTCTGCTTGTTTCCTTTTCACAGTCCCAGGTTTTTGCATAAAGTACTTGTGAGAGAAAGGCTTTCCTGCCTTCCCGAGGGCAACAACACTCTTCCTTTCCCCAAGGAACATGTGATGTTATCAGAAGTAGGACACGTTTCTCTCTGCCCTACCTTCTGATGGGCCTATAGCACAATTTCTTACAGATGGCAGGATGCTGTTAATACATGTCATTCTTCCACATCATAAGCCAGTAAAATTAAGCATTGACAGTTCTCTGGAGGATGCTCATTCAGACCTAAGAAAAACAACAGAAAAGACAGTACAGTAACTGAAACAATAAGAATGAGGGAAGCCAAGCCAAGGCCTACCAGGTCCAGGTGACCAATCATAGATTTTGACTTCAGGCCATGCCTGGTGATTCTGCTGCTGGGCAGCCTCCAGCAGGCTGCTCCACGAAGAGTAGCCAGCTGCCTCAGAGCTGAGAGCAGCAAACCCTTTGGTCACAAGAGGAAACAGCTCTGACTCAAAAGCACCTAGGGGAAAGTGCTGGTGAGTAACACAGTGCCATTTACGCATAGTTACACTGCTGACTTTAACTGTTCTAGCCACTTTTACTACCTTTTATTTTGGCACGTTCCTCCATAACTGCTTATTTTCATATTTGACTATTTCCTGCTATGAATTGTCAGTTCTTTTAAAATAAACCTGACAATTTCCAAGCTATCAGTTTTTTCACCTGGTATGCCAACTCCTGATGTGGGACTCAACATCCTTGTCTGAAACCAATCACTCTGCAGCAGCTGTGACACAGTGCTGGCAGCTGCTAAGAGGTTCCCAAAGCATCTAGTCTTCTTCAGACCTAATCACACCAAAGGCAATGAAACTCCTTCAGCACAGCACCTCCCTGACCTGCACCACATCCTGCTTATTGGACAAGTGTAAAAACAACAATCAATTATTTTTAACCAATATTTAATACTATGCTTTTACTGTAAACAAGATTTTAACCACATTTCCTAAGAAAACAAGGGACATATAGATACACAATCCCAATTGTCCATTCAACCTTCTTCCTGTTACTTTGTACCCCCTGTTCTGGCTATGTTTGAGAGCAGTGAAGAAGTCTTATAATTTTATAGTTCTTACCAGTTTTGTGGGATTTAGAAACACATCACAATGAAGATGTCCAGGAAAGTCGTGGAGTCCCAGATCCCTGGAGGGGTTCAAGAAAGGGCAGCTTTGGCACTGAGGGGCATGGTGGGGATGGATTTACATTTGGACTTCATTATGTTAGAGTTTTTTTCCAACCTTAATGATTCTATGACTCTATGCATTGATGACCATGCAGTGATCATGACTACAGAACTCAGTCTTATTTCAGGGAATTAAAAGAAGTGGAGTATCAGATGTTCTTAAATTCTATGACTCACAGAACTCCTTGTTTCAGTTCTCTTCCCATCTTACAGGGAAAGGCAAGCAAGAATAGATACCTCCACAGTTAAGCCAGCACACTGCTTAGAACTAGCCCAGATGTCTGCAGGAGCTACAGATATTGAATCCTTTTTTTCCTACACCAGCAGACAGCAAAATCTACTCTTCAGAACCATTTAAGCTCTGCAAAGTGAAAGGCTTCAGGTAAAGTACAGAATGCTGTTATTTTTGGAGAGGAACTGACCAGACTCAGCCCCAGCAAACCCAAACCAGGATGTTTTCACAGTCTGAACAGAAATGCCAGCAGCAGAACAGCATGAATGATGTAAAGATGTAATTTCATTTATCCACAGGTGCTGTTTGCAAGATCAGTAAGATCACTTCAACCAGATTCTGAGCTACTGTAGACAAGGGTAGTGTATTACCTCTGGAAGACAGGGACTGGGGTTTACATCCACCAAAGCAGAGCTGGCTTTGTACTTTGAAAAGAACAGGGTCAGTTAAAGAAGCCAAAATACATACATCGATTTACGCTGGGTAACGTTGTAACAGTGCCCCTTTAATGCTAGCTTTAGCTCACCACAGTAAAGGTTCCTTGTTTCTGCTCAGGAATTACCAAGCAATCTCAGCCGGTTAGGTAACAGCAGGAGCAGAGTCCAATCACTCTCTGAAAGGTGTTTTGTACACCACATACCCAGAAACACTGGGCTAGCAGCTCCTGCTCATAAGCCACTCCTGAGACTACAAATGGAAGAAAGAAAAACACCACCTGCAATACAGATACAAAAAGAACCTGAGCTTCCCAGAGTCATGACATATTCAAAAATCCTTTTATGTCCAGAAACAAGGAAAAAACTTCAGGAATTCATACAGATACCACTGAGCAATGCACTTTTTTTTTTTTTTACCAGAGCATACGCCTTAAAATGCATCTAATTCCTACCCCAGTGAGAAACATCACTACTGAGATCATGGAGACAACTAAAATCTCAAGTTTGCCAGCAATCATTATTTTCTTGTACTACAAGGAGATGGTATTTCTGTCACACATTCATTGGAAGCCTGCAGTCATCATGTTACTGGGTCTGACCTTTCCAAAAGGGAGAACATCACTGCTTCCATTTTCAATGCGATGCTTTGGTTTAGAGAAATCAATTTCAGAACTTTCAGCCCTTCTGAAATCAGTTGTTTTAGAGCCAACTCATGTCAGCACAAACTGACAAAACTACCAAACTGGGTTTTCTCCTCTGCTAACTGAGTTCGCTGTCTGTACTCAAGTCTACACAATCCAAGATTTAGGGGGTGTGAGCATAATTGGTTTCATATTCCAATTTTGAAGGATCTTTCCAGACAAAGAGCTGTCATACAGTCTCAAATATGAAATCTCCATCCCCGCTGGATATCTCCAATCTCTGCAACACAGAGCAGCAGAATAACAAGGAGATGGAAGAGCCTTAAAGCCAAACCTTTCCTGTTTCAGCCTTTTTTCTACTGCAGCCACACACACATGTATGCACGCATTTGGTAACTGTGCAGGTACACTGGCACACACAAATTTTGGGACAGAACAGCAACTCACAACAAAACTCTGTGAGTAGTATACTATGCACTAGTGCTCCTCCTACAGAAGAATGGTACAGCTTCCTTCTGTTAGAAGTGAGCTGAAAATTGCATCCTGTGGTCAAAAAAGTTCAAGCAACTTAATATAATTCTGGTGCATGTTACCTGATTCATGCCACAAAGATGGGGTCTTTGCAGCACCTGCCATGTAAAGAAAGCACAAATCCTGAGATGTGCTTTGATACACTACTGCAAAAAGGAATGCAGCATTTGTATGATTAATACTGATAGTAACTTCCACAGGTAGAAGTCAGACAATTTTGTAAATCACACAATAGTTCCATCAACACCTGGTTGCTTAATTATGTCTAATAGATGTAGAAGTAATGACTGCATTTCACAGACTGTCATTTGGAGGACAGGACGACTACTCAGACAGCATAGCATTTAACAAGCTACTTTACTTAGTGGAGACTTGCAATTTACCACATAAGTGCCCTAGTATAATCACTGTCATAGCACAAAAGTTAACTTGCAATTATTACTATTTCAGTAATTCTCTTTTCTAATTACTATCCCAGTATTAAAATAAATAAGAGAAGGTAGCAGCAGTGAATGAGAAAGGCCATCTTATTCCAGCTGTGCTCATCCAGTCCTACTGGTCTCAATAAAAAGCATCTGCAGCATATTTAAAGCACAAAGAAGGAATGCCTTTTTAGTTCCCTGAGAAAAACTGCCTACTGTTAACATATGGCTCAGATCTATTAAATGTGCTACCCACCTGTCTCTACACGACTCCAATATAGTTCTCAGCAAGTTGGTAGTTCTCCACCAAGAATAATCAATTTTTAACCATGTGTGACACGAGTGCCCCCCTTTCCTTACAATACCTACATGCAGATCCAGCCAGCTGCCAACTTTTCATTCACTGCCACGTTTCAGAAGCTTTGAATTGACTGCCATCTAGCGACAACAGCAGGAAGCCCCAGGAACCTTCCTATATGATGCCTGGAGTCACCTGTCCTTCCAGCACTGAAATTAAACTGTACCTTGTAGCAATGAGTTCCACACAACATTTTTTCTTCTGTTTCAGTTGAGTCAATCTTCCTGCAGCCAGTCAGTAAAAGTAAACACATTTTCAGATCAGCTTTTCTGTACACTGCAGGATCAAGAGCCCATGGGAACTCACTTTCCCCTTTCTCAGAAGCCAGTCCACCCCATCAGAGCTCATCGAGACTGAAAGTGACTTCCAAATCTTATCACACAAGGAAAAAGGTTAAGAGAAATCTGCGTACTTAAATATTTCTTTTAATTACAATTACACGTGAAAACTTGTTACAAGTATTTCTACTGCTTGGAACTTTTCAGAAATATCTTGGGTGTTTGCCATCCTGCAGGAGGCTTTTTCAAACCAGCTCTTTTCCAGATGCGCTCCAGATCTTTCTCAAATTTTACCTAAAACAGAGGAAAAAGAAAGAGAGAGGGAGAATGGCAACACCTCAGAAGCAATACTCAAGTCTTCAGACACTGCCCAAGTGACCCAAGGAGGATCTACATACAAACCCATACATGCAAAACCAAGTATCAAAATACAGTGAGCCATAGGAAAGGCATTTAAAACAAACAAGGACACTGGTAAGAATGTCTTAAAAATGCTGTAATAGCAAAACTGATAGGAAGTGAAACTGTAAGAGAATTTCTCATCACAAGTGTGCAGAAACTGAAGAACAGTTAACCCCATTTAAAGAGGCATCTACGCAAGGTGAAAATTAACAAAGAATTATCTGAACTATATCATAGCAGGCTGTCAAAAGGCAGCACTGAATGAGAATATCCACAACTTGAATGAAGGTCAACATCTTCATGCATCCTTTCTACTAAAGGAAGAAAAGGGTTCTAAATAAAAACAGTAAGTCAATAGGATGGTCTCTTCCTACAGCAGCTCTGTAAAAGCATGTGAGAACATGAGCAAGACGGGTAGGAAATGAAGATTAAACTGATCTTCCTGATGTAATATAGGCATGTGAATTAATCTTCCACACAAACACAAGTTCTTTCCCACTAGTCACACATCTTTATGAGTTACTCACACCTGGTAACTATCACACGCAACTTGTTACAAGCACAGAAATATTCTGAATTAGTTTCTGAGGACGTACAGGTAAAATACAAAACAAATCAGCCAAAGCTACTGGGCCAGTAAATCCTGAATTGGATTAGACTGAATTTCTCCAAGCTGCTGCCATTTTTCCCTACGTTAATCCCACCTAAAATCCAACACCTGAATAAAAGGCAGTTTAAGAAGGGTGTGTACCTACACCAGGATGTTCCCTTTAAGCTGAGCTTACCTGCCGTTTCTTCTTGCGCCCCTCCTTTATCCTCCTTCTCACAAACTTCCTTCTCTTTAGCAGCTTTTTGTATTTGTGTCGATTCATTTTCCGTCTGCGGATCTTCAACACGTTCTTACACTGCAGTGTATTGGTTGGCGTTCCTTCCCCTTCTTCCACATCAACTCCTTCATCAGATGGAGGACAGTCATATCTCTGGAAAGGCCCAGAGCCCTCTTCTTCCTGAGCACTACTGACCTCTGCTTTAGGAAGGGAGTATGTGACTGTCAGCCAGCTTTCTAAGGGGCTGATGGAAAGCTTTCTGGGGACCAACATCTCTTCCAGTTCAGGCTCCAGCACGTGCCACCGCTGAGGCTGGGCTCCATTCTTATTAGGTGGCTGTGTGCAATAGTTCACAGATGTAGAATGACAGCAAAGAAAGGAAGACACTGACCTCGGCAGAAAGTGCCCTTTGAGAAGAAAAGAACTGCACTTAGGAGGCAGAAATTTCTAGAAATATCTTCACAACAGCTCTGCACAGCTCAAGCAGCACTAAAATAACTCAGTCATAATAAAGGAAACTGCATACAAGCGATTAAATTCCCATCATAAAAGCAAAGAAGGGTTTATTTCTCAATTTGACCCCAACCATTTTACAACAATTCCATCTGCTAAAACTACATTAGATAGCATTTCACTGCGTGAGCTGTACAACTAATCCGGAATAGCTGTGAACTGTTCTCTGCTGCTAAGAAACCTCCTCTGAAACGTAACAGCCTGCAGCTCCGTGGTACTGACAGCACAGCCACAGATACTCACATAACACAACCAACAGCCCCCCACCCACACTGCTGGCTGGAAAAGAAACTCCTGGGAGCCCAATTACCCCAAAAGAAAACAGAAACCCACTCACTTGCAACTCGTGAAGCCTTCAGCAGCTGGGAAGTCAGCTGTGATAATAACATTTTTTTCCCCACTTCATTCAGTCTAACAGATCCGGTATTGACTGTTAAAGTAAAAACATTTATGCAGTGAGGCAAACGTGTTATTGCTACTTGAAAAAGCACTTTGAAACGTAACCCCAACCCTCCAAGCATCCTCGTGTTACCAATTCCATTCTGCTGGACGTGACACGCCCACAAACACTGAGGTAGCCGAGTTTCAGAGATAACGAATGCAGCTTTTGTTATTTCAGATTTTAAAAGTAGGCTCCTCCAACCCAAGCCCCACTCGCCCGTTCCCGCCCAACTCAGCACTACGGCATCATTACCACAGCGAAAAGTGGAACGAGGAACGCTGCTGTGAGGAACTGCTCGACCTCACCAGGGGCCGATACCGAGACCACAGCCTCTCTGCAACCCCAAACAGCGAGACTGGCCGCTCCCGAGGCGCAGTTCTCACCACGCCCGAACCGGGGCCTGAACGCCAGCCCTAAGCCTTCTCCTCAGGCCGGCGGGCCGCCATTACTCACCATCCTCGCCCGCTTCCGCCCCCAACTTCCGGTGCCCGCTTCCGCCCCAACTTCCGGTGCCCGCCAGCACAGCGCTCCCTGCCGATGCCCTCCAGCACAGCGCCCCCTACCGCCGCCCTCCGGAACAACCGTGGTGCTGAGCGCGCCCCAGGGAAATGGCGGCCTCGGGAGCCGTGCTGCAAAGCGCCAACAAAAATCATTTGTAACGCCTTTGAACGAAGGCTGTTGCACACAGATCCCATTCTTCCCTCAGCCTCTCCTCCACTGCTCGCACCCAGATTCCTCCTCGGATCCAACAGCAGCAGCCTGTGTCAATGAGCTGTTTGTGCACTCACAGAATTGCCAGGGTTGGAAGGGACCTCAAGGATCGTGAATCTCCAGCCCCCCTGCCACATGCAGGGCCACCAACCTCCTCATTTAATGCTAGACCAGGCTGCCCATGGACCCATCCAATCTGGCCTTGAACACCTCCAGGAACGGGGCATCCATCACTCATAGGGAGAGCCAGCAGGGAAGGGAACAGCAGCACTTTGCTCAGCAAAACAGAGGTCAGACACAGAGTGCTCACACAGCTGCAGCAGGGAAACACGTCCCGGTGATTGCAGCAGCAAGGAAAGGCTGCCGGGCACCCCTCCCTTTGCACCCTGAGATGCATCTGCGGGTGGCTGCTGTCCAGGAACAGCCACGCCTGCTTCTCCTGCTTCACCTCTTGTTTTCTGGGTACGAGAACCGCCGTCTTGGCACGGCATGAAAGGTCTCATCAGCTGGCATGGGGAGCAGAGCAGAAGCCAGCCCAGCGCTTCAAAGAACGCCTTGCTTTTATCCTTCCCTCAGCCAGAACACCGAGATCTTCTCGCCAGCTGCTTTTGGTTATTTCAAACCAGAACAACCTCAGCTTCAGGTGTGCTCCCCACACGTCCAACCATTGGCGTCTCCTTCAGGTTAGACTTTCTGCCTGAGCACACGGCTCTGTGGTCACAAAACAGAGGCCGACACGCAGAGAAACGAACTGAAGTAGCTCATTAAACAGACAATTTCTTTAAACGAGACTTTTATTGAAGACTCTTCAGAAATCTATGTACAAAACCACATTCCCAACCCAAGATCTGGATGCTGATCACCCACTGGGAACAAAAAGCCAGTGCCCGGTGCTGTGAACCCGAGGACACACAGAAGTACCAAATCCATAAAGTTAAGTCAGGTCTGGAGGAAAGTGGAGGACCTCTTCCCAAGACATGTCTCCAGCACACCCACCATAGCAGGCTCCAAGAGCCCGTGCTGTCAGAACAGGTCTGAGGGCAGGCTGCTGATTTGCCTGTAGAAGCAAAGTGGAACCAGCCCCAGATATAACCTGCAGGTTTTTAATCAATGTTAGCTGGTTGTGGGAGAGACCCATCACTAAGAGCACAGTAGTATTGTCAGGAAGTGTTAGAGCAGAACAGTAGTGATATCAAGGAAGAGTAAACCTTTCTGAATATACCTGGAGAGAGGGGATGGATATCAGACTGGCTATTTCTATGAAAATCTAAGAAAACCCTGAAGACGGAGACAGTAGTTGATGCAAGTTGAATAGTGACCAACATGCTGTTTCTGTACTATGCTAGCACATCTACCATGGTAGAGTTTCCCCTTGCCAGTCCAGGAAGGAACCGTTTTCTTTTTCACCAAGACGATCCAGAACAGAGAGAATACCAGGGATGGCCTCTTGCACCTGCAAGGGAGCCTGGAGAGCAAATTGAGGTTGAGTTATTACTAAGCATAACTGAGAATACGATCAACTGCATGTAAGGAGTTAATAGGATCAAATAGGATCTTTTTCATGTTGCATAGTGTGCCTATGCAGTGCATGGAAGTGTACTTGCAGCAGGGTGTGTTGGTCAAGGGTTGGAACAAGGGAGTTATGCTTTCCTATTTATATATAGAGATGTCACTAACCATGTTTCCTCCCATGTCTGTCTGAACCCAGCCTGGATGCAGAGAAATGCAGAGAATTCCGTCTGATTTCAAGTCTGCAGCGAGACATCTGGTGATCATGTTCAGTGCAGTCTAGAAGAGGGGAAACCATCTATTAGTGTGCTATTTTTCACAACCACCTTTCAGCAAGATCTTAAGCCAAGCCAACTGGCATCTCCCTTCAAAGATGCCTGCTGACAAATCAAGTAGCAATAGCAGCGTGATGGTAACTTATCCAGGCTTTGTGGGGCCTTCATTCTCAGAAATATCTCTAAGGGAAGCACTGTGAAAGCTCCACCCTCATAAACTTATTGCCCAAAGATGAAACTAAGTTACGATGGAAGATAAATGACATTTGAAACTCCTAAGGACTCATGAAGAATAATCTTGACGTAAGATTTTTCTCCATTTTTCTGCAATAATTACAACACGGGTTTTTTACTAGGGAAAACAAGCATGTTAACAGCTTATGAGTAGGTGGCATAGAAGAAACTGCATGTCTAATCCTGACAATTCATTCAAACTCAGCCTCTGGATGTGACAAAACTAATGCTGCGATCATCTTAGGCTCAGAGAGGCCTTTAACTTTAACAGACCTGTTCTCACCCAATGAGCACAGCCCAGGAATCATCCAAACCTTTGCTATCCTGTAGGGGTAGACCTTGAGGAACATCTCATTCGCCTGGACGAGTTGCATGGAGGCAGCAAGAGAGGACATATTAATAATAGCAGCTCTATGGCAGCCCATTCCTGTGCTCAGCTGAGCTGCCTTCCTCAGAAGGGGTAGAAAAGCCTGTAAAAACAAAGTTGGTTTTAATTTGGTCACCTCACTCTTGGTCCATTTAAGGCATGATGTAATCTCAAATTCTGCTCTGTGAAAAATTGCAATACAACTCTACTCCATCAGCACTGAATGGCGATGGCTATCAAGGCAAGCTGACCATAAGAAACCTTTCCATAATATCCAAACGTAAGCCAGCAGTCTGCTCACCTCCCAGCCCAAGCTGTCCACTAAAGTGACCTCATACCAACTGGTTTTAAATAAAGAGAAAGATACTGGCTAGAAAGCCATTGCTGCTCTCCTAGGGGTGCAGTTCCATGTTGATAAACACTTGGGTTACGTGTCCAGCTCACTAGTGGCAGGGCCTCTGCAATGCCATCAATTAAGCATGCTTCTCCCAGTTCCTACCTTAGTGACCATCAGCTGGGCGACTGTGTTGGTTTCGTAGATGGTGAGCATCGTCTCTGCTGTGACATCTTCCAAGGAGGCAAGCACATTGATGCCAGCGTTGTTAATGAGGCAGTTCAGACCTTTGTCTCCCACAATTTCTTCCACTTCTTTGACTACTTTCTTGATGCTGTTTTCACAGACCACATCTGCACGGAGGAGCCAAGAACAGCCACAGTGAGCAGTGATGTGGTTCAGATGCTATTGCTATACAGCACGTGCTAAACCAAAGTTAAAACATGACTGTGAATGGGGACGGGCAGCAAACAAGGATGGAGGCCATACACAGAAGATTTACAGAGATTACATTCCCTGTTGTTATCTTAAGATGAAGTTATGGATCTTTCCAGCTGCTGGAGGTCGTGCACAGCTACTGACCATGCAGGAGGCTTTGGATGCACTCACCTGACTTGGCTGAACATGCTTCTATGTAAGCTCTTTACTCACCCAGCTGGAGGAGCTTGATATTGCTGTACTGCTTGCTAAGCTGCTGGAGCTCCTAGGAAGAAGAAATGATTTATATTACCTTCTTTGTACGTGTGTCTGTGGCTGTTACATGAAGCAGTTTGAGACCTGCACCTCCAGAATTGATGTTTACTTCTGTAACTGGACTGAGAGCAGTGCCACTATTTATTTTCCATCCAGCAGCTCTTTCTTGAGAGCAAGACTGACTGCTCCAAGAAACTGGGCTCTTCACCTGCTTAGCCAAGAAACCAGCACAGTAAATTCTCAGCATATTAATACAGAGGGTGCATTTACAGCCTAACCAAAGGTCTTTGATCAGGTGGCTCTGGGTGATGGTTCCACTGTGCTCAGGCTGCATGCCAAGCTGGTAATTCCTCACTGCTGTTAAGCACTTCTCCTGATGTTTAGCTGCTACCAGACATCAGAGCAACAGAAACTCTAAGAAAAGCCATTACTGGTTGCAGAAAAAGCATCCTAACAGTTTTCCCATTGAAATCCTGTTTCCAAATACTCTCATTAGCTTCAGTTCTTGCAACTGAAAGTAGAGCAGATGAGAAATTGGTTATGTACACAACAACTATCCAGGAGAACTGTGTTCTCTCTGCAGTATATTTATAATTCAGCCATCTGAATTATACTCTCAGTAGTAAAGTAAGAGAGGAATAAGAAGTGTTCTTGTAGGAAATAAGTGCTGTGGTGGCACTGCTTCTGGATAGGGTGTGTGCACACTGGATTTTACAGCCCCAGCTGCATTACTTGGCTTTCTGTGCCATGCAGAAAGCAGGGACTACTCTTAATGGATGGAGTGCAGCCTCCCAGCCACGCTTAGGGGCTGAGCAGCCACAGCCAAACATCTCAGCTCAAGCAAATCCACCTCTTCAGAAGCCCATCTGGAGCAGGGGTGGGGATGGCTGCTTTTGAAAGAGCATTCCTCTGCCACTTGGAGATGCTTGGGACGCCACGTCTTCTCATCAGGTTATAACACATCACATTTTTTTATCTCAGTTGATGTTCTGCAAGATTCTCTCCAGGTTTGTTTAGTAAACTTGCTCTCCCACTGCAGCCAATCTACAGCTGCCGTTGGGCTTGGAAGGGGAAGAAGCCAGAAGCACAAAACCTGCAGACATTCCTTTCTGTGGACAGGAATAGTTCTGCCATGTCAAGGTCTGCAATAATTCTGTGGCTTTGGACTGTCTGCTGTACTTCAGTTTGACAGCACCAATTATGATCAGCTCCAGAAGCGCTCTGGCTTCCATTATGTTTTCATTTATTTATGGACAGATTGCTTCCCTGTCAGACCGAAACAAACAACAACTGTGAGGCAGCAGATAAACCTCCTTTGCTAAAAAGCCAGAGATGTTCTGTGCAATGAGAACCAGTGAGAGGGTTCTGAAGCGAGCCAGCAATATCTTCAATTCAGAACTCCAAAGGCTGTGGCATTACTCCTTCCCTGGAGCATAAACACTACAATTGCTGCATGTAAACCCGAGTTAAAATTCAATAGTTTTTCCATTTAGTTAATTATTGTGTTTAATAATGACTCCAACTCGAGTGGCTTAAGGTTCACAAAAGAAGCTTCTGGGCGCAGCTTTAACTTGGACAGCTTTGGGCTGCAAGAAGTACAGAGCTCTGCTGCACTCAATGAGAACAGGAGTGGAAAACCTAGTTAGGAAACCCAAAAAGGACAAGTCTACGGCAGCCCCAACAGACAGAGCCGCTTTTATTTAGTTATGGTGTTGCAAAAGCTGATTTAAAACAAACAAGCTAACGAAGCAAACAAGCAAAGCACTCAACACCAGCCCCACATGTTTAGTGTAGCAGCTCTAGGAGTGTTTGGTACCCAAACAGCTACCCATGAGAATCAGCTCTCAGGGATTCCAAGAGAAAAAAAAAACCTTAATACTGTGATTAACATCTGTTGTTTCCTGCTTGCTGATTTTAATTACGATTAATAAAGACTCAGCCTGCTCCAATTTAAACAGGATCCTCTGGCGCTGAGACTCCAGATACAGATCCATCAGTGCACGGATTGTTAGGCTCCAATCAGGGTGTTATGGTGCTTTTGTCATTTAGCAGGATTTACTTTGCCTTCTTTATGAAAGCATTATTCACTCTGGTTACAAGTCTTGGAAGGAGCCTGGCTGTGTTGGACCAATTGGAAGCAATTGAGGCACCTAAGGCAGCTGTGTCAGGCAAAGGGGAACTCAGTGCCCCTTCCCAATGCCCTGCTGGCACTCCAGACAAAGCCAAAGCACTCCAGATTTGCCCACGTATCCCTGAGATGGGCTGTCCAGTATCACAGCACGCAGCCAACTTGCTGTCAGATTATGGAAGAATTCACACCAAGCTGCTGCTGTCTGTCGTCCCCCCCCCAACCCCATCCACAGTAGGAAGTACAAACCACTGCCTTAAGCCAAAATTAGAAAGATTTTGAGAACACCCTCTTCCTGATACAGCAGATTTGTTGCTGGAGGACTGCTCCAGAGATTGCTCAGCTGGTTTTGTCCATCTGGAGTGCAAAGACGGGACACGAGGGTTATTTTGGAAAAGATTTGTAGCTGCCTCCGCTCTCGGTGCCAGAGCAGCTCAAGGAAGGGCAGATCAGAAGCAAAGCTGGGCTGGAGGAGCCCAGCACGGGACTTTTCAGGGAGGAGCAGCGGTTATCTCCGTGTGCCTGCAGGCCTGCTGCATGCTATCGTGTGATCTTAGCCCATTTGTTAGGCAAATGTTCTGCGGAGGCCACCTAGGAGGTATGCAGCACAAGAGCTGGAGTTATTACAGCTGCCAGCAGCCTCGCATGCAAAAGCTTGCAGCTGTTCAGCCTTATCCCGGGGTTAACAGGCTACAGGAGATGCTGCTCCCTGCAGCAAGCAGACGGGCTCCTGTCCAGCTCCTCATCCAAAGTCGGGTCCCTGGGGTGCTGCCTAAAGGATGCTCTTGGCATGCAGCTGTGAACAGCACACGTTCTGCTCAGAGCTCCTCCGGCTCAGTCCCCTGGTGGGGATGTGCTGCTGGGTATCGTCCTTGAGATGAGCGCTGGATTGGCCGGTAATTAAACACGTTTAATCACTTTTCTTCTAAAATCTGGCCAATTATTTTTAAAAGGCTGTTTTTCATTTCTGTTTTTTCCATCCCAGGATTTCAAGATCTGGCAGCGGAGTGAAGGCAAAAGCCTTGTCTGGGAGAAGAAGGATAAAAACTACCTATCTTTTTGAACCATACTCACTCAAGCAAAATTACCCAGCTGGCTGCAAGCTCAGAGCTGGGCAGCTGTGCCCACTATATGGCCCAGACACATCACTGCTTGCCCCAGCAGCGGTCAGAGGCTTCGTGCCAGCATTAGCATTGCAGATGAGACAGATAGCAACAGGGAGACTACAATACCTTCAGTAAAGATTTCCCTTCCTTGTGGAGTTTCCAAACCCATCTGTTAGAAATATGCTTTCAGCCGGCTGCACAGCTCTCCACTGATGTGCTGCCAAAGCACAGCACATGGCTTAGAGGTCCTGACAAAGAACAAAAACTTACCCCGAGCCCCCAAGGACAACTCCTGCTCCAAAAAAACCCCAAAATCAAAACAAATCAACCCAAATTAAGGATGCACCAGTGTGGCCTGCTGGATCCCAACTCAGGGTTACAAGAATGCAGCCCTGCTCCAGCTTCCTGCCTCCAGCAGGCACAGCTACCAGAAACTTTCCAGGTTTCTCCTGCAGCAAGCAAGCAGTTGCCCAGCCTTTTCCATGCATCATGCTATGGGAAGGTTTGTCCTTTGTCTATCATGCTTTTTGCTTGAGGTCTGCATAATGCCTCCTAGGAAGCTCTTCCTACTGAAGGAACCACGTTGCTTTTTCATACGACTGATTCAAGATCATCACAATGGGAAACCAATGAGGGCCAGTAGGTGAACCTCTCAGCAAAAGCAGCTTCAGAGCAAGCACCTGCACAAGAAGGCTTCAATCACTGAAGGTCCCTGCAGTGTGAACCTTCAAGTGTGCAATCACCAGTAGGAAATTCATCTGGGACCTGAAGGAGGGCACAGCAAACAGCATAACCACAAGTACAGCTTGGGAGCTCCCGCAGCATGAAGGTAACCTGCACCCACACTGTGTCAGTTCCATTCAGAGATATACCCTCAGTCTGTGTGTTGCATTGTCTGCTCTGATGTTGAGGAACAGAAGGAAGATGACTTTCTTCACTTTCCTAAGCACCTATAGAGCAGCAGAGTGCTGCTGCAGAGCTGAGCAGCCAGGCTGCAGCCATTCCTGCCCTGTGCTGTTCTGGAACAACAGGAGCTCCTGCCCCAGCTTTTGTGTAGCAAAGCAGTAAATGTTGCTCTGTGTTGTCTGATAGCAGAGCTGTGGGATAACTTATGCTGTAAGGAATTAAACTCACAGCAAGGCAGCAGCCATGCGAGCTCTCCTTCATTCTGCATGCCAGGGGAATCCCTTCTCCCTGGGCAGCCCTGTCCCATCGTGGAGAAAAGAAGCAGTGCTTGTGGCACTGATTACATGATGGCAGAGTCCTGACACAGGGCTGAGAGCTCAGATTCTCCCAGCTCTGCAGCACCGGATCTTTTCTGAGGAGGGCAGAGGATGATGCTTTGCGTGCAGAGCTGCCCTGGCAGCGTTCTGCTCACCACAGATTGCCAAGATCAGGCTGGAGCAGCACGGGGCTGAGCAGGCTGATAACCAGCTATCAGCTCGTCCCCACAGGTTGGATTGTCTGGCGTTCGCATACAACAGCCTGGGGATAGAGGAGGGGAGGAGGGGTGCAAATAAGCCGCTGCTGTACGGCAGAGGAAAAGGCAGGTAAATGAATTCCCCAGCGACACGCAGCAGCAACGGGCAGAAGGCACCGATCCCTGCCTAAGGACAGTATTTAAGTTGGTTTTGGACTTGTTGCAAGTCCAGCAGGGAACGAGGAAAAACAGAGCATAGATGCGCAGCGCAGAAAGGAGCTGTAAGGGATATCCATGGGGAAGCTCCTGGGGCAGCACCCACCTCCAACTGCGCCCGACGAGCCGCTCTGCCGCCTTATTCCCTCCCAGGAGCGGACACCCAGCCGGCAGCAGCCCATCGTACCCTCCGTTCTCGGAGCCCCCAGCAGCCCCGGCTCCATCCCGCATCCCTCCTCGCCCCGAGCACCGCCGGGTTCCATCCTCCTCCATAGGACTCAACCCGGCCCGCTTACCTGCGCCTTATCGGGATAACGGCACGTAGCGAAGACGACCTCCGGGGATGGATCGGAGGCAGCGAGCCCCTTCACCAAGCCCAGCCCGATGCCGCGGCTGCAGCCGGTGATGAGCACGGAGCGGCAGCGCGGCTGGGCCATGCTGCTCGGCTCGGCTCGCTCTGTTCCCACCGCAGCCCCACGCGGTTCTTAAACCTGCACCGCTCACAGCCGGCACAGAGCCCCGGATCCGCCCCCCCCCACCTCCGCCCCGCCCGGCGGCACCGGGATCCCCTTCGCTCCCCGCCCCGGGACGGAGGTTTGCCCATCTGCTGCACGAGGATGGATAATGGTGAAATCTCTGCTCCAGCACAGAGGGAAGAACAGAAGCACTTCTAACCGGCAGCAGTTCAACCTCCAGCCCAGCTTGCTGCCATGGGTGCCTTTACAGCCCGCACCGGCACGACCTGACGATTGATTCTACGTTATGGGAAAGCTCTACAGTCCTCCTGTGCTACAACCCTCAGTGCTCAGGCAATGCTTTCCCTGCACACGTTTATCCACGTGTACCCAGCTGCATACAAAGGCTTTCAGTTCCATCTGTTAGTACTACGCTGCTTTAATTTCTCCATCAAAAGGCTTTTTAAAATCATGCTTTAAAATCATTAAGTTCATTTTGATACGTGCCAGGAACATCAGCTCCCTTTGTACTCGGAAAACTCACTAACAAAGATTAAGCAGTTCAGCTTCCTTGAAAGAACCCAAAAGACCCATGAGTCAGCCCCATTTCCTCGAATGAGAAAAAGATGCTGTTGTTGCAAGAGATGTAGAAGAGCTCGAGAAAAGGGCATGATACTCACGTATCAGTCATAGCCTTCTACGCAAAGATAAAAGCTCTGAGCAAGAAGCTTTGCTTGCAATCACCACCTTTTGCATTTCAGTCACCACCTTTTGTGTCTGAGGGCTTGAGTGATAAGAAAACACTGCCTGTATCTTGTAATGTTACTGCAGAAAGCCGTGGCTGATGCTTACACCTGATGTACACCTTATAGCCAGCACAGCCCCAGTCTGCTCCCTGCCTGCAGCACAGCAGCTCCTGAACATTAAGGAAATAGAGGCCAAGGTTTAGCAGACACGCAGAGTTTGTCCACTGGAAAAGTTTTAAATACAAAGTATGTTGTGTTTAATTGTCACTGTGCCTTTTTATGGCACCATAAACACGCACAGCACTTGACAAACAAACCACAAGGGCAACATCCATCATAAATTGCTCTTTTTCCTGATAAGTCTGAGAATGCCCAACAAAAGCAGCAAGCAGAACGGGCTGCACTGCCCTGCCAGGGGGCAGAAGGGAAAGGACACAGCTTAAGGTCATTGAGCCACAGATCAGGGGACAACAGCCACATGCTGCACTGACAGCTGACTCGCACCAAAAGGGCTACAGTCATGGGTTCCATGTAGTTTCTCACTCATTTAGGCATCAGAAAGGGTCAGGCCTCACTGAAGTCAATGGGGGTCGTTGCAGCTCTTTCTGCCAAGGCTTTTAACCAAGCTCTGCTCGCTAGCAGCTGGTTCCTTCAGGAGGAATCAGATTTGGAAGCTCTGGATTTCAACCCCGTCACCCACAGTCTAAGGGGACACAATTTTGTTTTGCCATTTAGCTCAACCTGAGATGCATAAACCAAATGCAGATTTGCTTTGCTTAGCAATTTCTCACCCCATATTTGAGGACAATAAAAACAAGGGTTGCCTGGCAACTCAAGGAAGAGTTGCATCACAGTACAATGGGGAGAACTTTTTTTCTTTTGGTGAAGCAACACTCTTAAATAATTGCTACTTGCAGTTTCTACATTTGAGTGAACTCCATTCTTCCAGCTCCCGTGCATTTTTGCAGGTCTCTGGCACTTTTTCCATAGCTGATTATCAGGATAACTGCAGTGTTTGCAGAACTATAAATCATTATTAGAACGATAATCTGTAGATCTGTAGACAAACGAGAAAAAAAATAAAGTTTCAAACAACCACTCCCTCTATCTAAATGACTTTTAATCTCTAATCCGCTGCCTTTGGGTCAGCAGAGTTCACTCTGAACAGCTTCTAGGAAGCTGAACACAAAGAACAGCCATCCTACCACAAACCACCACCATCATCTCCCAAAGCCAATGGAAGATCTGAAGCTGGCCACTGCCTGCAGCACATGTGGCCATGCTCCAAAAGCCCATGCAGTGAGCTGGGTGGTCAAGGGGGACGTTTCCAGCAGAAGTGGAACCTCTCTCCCATTTCCTCACACTTTCCCAAGATATCTGTTTTCGTAACAAGTCTTCCTGATGTAGTGACAAGCAGATCCTTATGAATCACAGCTCTGTAATCTCCCAGAGACCAGCTATGCTTGTTACCCAGACAGTTTACTCATCAATGTACAAGGAAGAGGACCAGAGTCACTGTTGATGAAATTCAGCTGTGTCAGCTGCATGTTAAGTCATGGGGACACCCAAGTTCTGACCCACGGGTTTTTTGTAGATTAGCATCAGTTGTTTTGATATCAACTGCAGGAGCTTAACTAACCCTAAGATTGCTAACTTAAGAAACCTGGATTTAATTAAAATGCTTGTTAAACTGAGACCACTGCAAAGAGCTCAAATCCCAGCTCTGGAACCAAGTTTTAAAGAGGTTATTAACACCTGGCATTGCTATCCAGGAACTGTGACAGATACATCAGTTCTAAACCCTCAGCACAGTAAAGGCAGTAAAACTACTTGCATGTAAGCTTCCCTGAAGCTATTAAATACACGTGGTGAAGTCTTTCACTGCGGTCTTGGAGCAAAGTAAAGCAGTATTACTTGTCACCACCTGGCAATGTGGCTGAGCCATAAGGACAACAGGCACACCTCACACTCAGGGAGATGCACCTACTCCTGTCTGTGACTCAGCCCTCGTATTTCAACAGCTCTGTTTTACACTTCCTCCAGCTACTCTGAGCATCTTCTCACAATTCTACCTCCCTGCCAAGACGCTCTGTGTAGCTATCTGTTTCAGGCTTTCAGCTGGTGAAGACAGGTTGTTCTCTCCTAGAACAGGATGTCCTTTAATGCTGTGATATAATCCCTTTTGTTTTGGAACCAAACCACTTCAATGGACAAATATACACACACTTTCTCCCTTCTTTTTCTTTTTTTTTTTCCCCTCTCCAGATTTTAAGGGACGCTATTTATTTAGCACTGCACACAAGCACAGCTGCTGATTTTTATGCAAAGTGACACAGTGTTCAGATAGAAAGAAGTACATAGCCCAGATCTTACCTTAATCCTTGGCTGTGCTACTTGTGCTGGATGGCAGCCACACTGATAGCTAGCAGACACGACACTCAGCTCAGGTAATTCCTCCAAGAGTCCTTTTGGAGGAAGCTGCAGCTGTGAACCTGCTTCCCCTCTCTGCTGCCTACCTCAGGAAGCAGAGCAAGTGGTGTTTTGGGAAGCATCCAGAGCAGAAGGAAGTCATTGAGCAGGGAAACACTTCCTCCAAGTAATAAGCAGGTAGTAAGGATTAAGAATATTTGTTTGTTTCTATTAGAAACATTTAGGATAGATCTAAGTCACTTTTTTGTACTGCATTTAGTCTTAACTACTTTAATACTTTGACTTCTACTCAATGAATTACTTGGCAAGCCAGGTATGAAAGCATTCGTTTCCATCTGTGTGCAAAGGTCAAGATAAAGCATACAGTTTGCTGATGCAGGAACAGATTAAACAAGGGGTGACTCTAGCTAGAACCAGCCAGCACAGCTTCACACTCGTATCCCTCCCCTACTCTGACTTCCTAATTACATTCCACAGCAGCATTCTGTTGGAACTCCAGAGCTCTCCCTGAATCAGCTGCCTGTCTCACTCAGTTGTCTTTTCTCAGCTGACGTGTAATCAGAAACAAGGTGAAGACTTACAGAATGACAGCTACCACTGCAAGGTATCCAGAGAATAATTAATCTTTCCCCAGAATAAGAAACAGGGTCACCTACTGAAGCGAGCGATGATGCATTTAGGATGATACATTTAACTTAACTGTGCTGCAAACACAGTAACTCCTATTAGGAGTACTGAAACCTCTTGTGAATCCCACGTTCCTCCAGAAAAGATGATGAAAATAGCAGGCAAGGCTCCTAGGAAAAGCTACAGACATCGTTTGTAAGGTGTAAACAAGAGCACCTGATTTCAGCCCATGCACCAGGTGCTCCTGTATGGCCCCAGCACAGCATCTATACTCAGAGAACAGCAACTCATGTTAGCCATTAGTCTACTACAGTTTGTTACATTTCTTCAATTCAACCCCAATTCCTTCTTTCCTTATGAGTAGGCAGAGTGGTACAGCTCTTAAGAAATTACTATGAAGTTTAATTAATATAAAATCAAATATTTTAATGAAATAAGGGAGCACGAGTGTAACAGCTCAGATATACCACTAGAACTGATACTACTGGGCTGTGGGGTTTTGGCTGTTTTAAAAAGGCTTTTCTTCAACAAGCATGCAGATTGACAAACTACTAATTCTTCAGAGCATCAAAGAACCTGAGTAAAGAATTTCAAACCTCTTGAAGTGTGTATATATAGGAAATGTCTTATGAGCTGGTGGCCTGCACACAGCATTGCACAGATAAAAAATATACTACTCTCAATACACAGAGCTAAATACTTTCACATTTATCAGAACTTTCTACACAAGTTTTTTTTCGATAGAGTTCAAGTTTTGAATTTTCTGTATATATCTTTCACCTGTATTAAACAAATGCTTATTTACATTGTGGATAAAGTGTAAAGGCTAGTAAGGCCATATTCCCATACTGTACTGTAACACTGCAAAATATATATACACATATATAACCTAATATAGGCATCAGTTCTAGAAAAGTCACCTTACAATTGTACAACATAATTGAGTCAGTATGAAAAGACAGCTTTGTTAGCACCAAGCCACTCCAATGGTTTTTTGTGAACCTCCTTGGGTTTTCTAATTCCACAGGAAGGGCTGTCCAACACAGCATTCCAACTGAGGAATGCAGATCCTGCTGCAGAACTGGAAAACCCAAGCAACACTATGTGCTACAGTATGCAGATTACTAAAGAGCAGGCATAGGAGCATCCAGACAAGCTCTGCAGTGTTAGCAGTTGACCTCCAGCGTAACATCCACGGAGACAAATACCAGATAGAGTCCTTTGTGTAATTGTATCTTGTTAGTATCTTTCCTTTGGATACATGACAGCAAGCACAGAATTACCAGTTAACACAGACTTTACTGAGACCAAGTGGTTTACAAGCCAGGTTAACCCTACGCTGCAAAGGCCAAATGGGGAAGAGCTCCACTGCTCAAATTCCAAAGGAAAGAACATCTCACACTGCTCATCTCCTGTGCCTGCTGTGGCCAGGATGGTCTCTGTCGTAACGATGAGCTGCTCGCTCGTAGGAACGAGAACGCTCGTGCCTGTGATTCCTGTAGTAGTGACTCTTCTTCTTGTACTTCCCCGAGTGGTCGGAACGCTCCCGGGATCGGCTCCTGGATCGGGACGAACTCCTGCTGCGTGATTTCCGTGTTTTGTGTGCTGAGTATTTATAGTCTTTTGATTTCTTGTAACTTCTCATCTTGGAAGTTTTGTAAGTCGAGCTGTGGTTGAATTGCCTGGGAGGAGAGTCGCTGCGACTCCGGGAGCGGCTGTGGGATTTGGAACCACTGGATGTGGAGTAACTTTCACTTTTCCTACAGGAAGAGTAAGGACATGACTTTTTAAAGCAGAACGACTCTACATTACTATATTAACAGCTCCTAAAGGTCATCACAAGAAACACACTGACCATATTTACCAGGACTCCCTGAAGTTACCTTTCAACACCTCACTGCAGCAGCACTCCTTTCACAGCACTACCTACCTGTGTTTAGGGGATGCAGATCTGGATGGTGATCTTGAATAACTTTGATCTCTACTCCCACTTCGACTTCTGCTTTCCCTGCTTTTCTGAACCCTGCAAGGGACAACAAACACAGTAAGCTTTGTTTAAAATAACAATGAGGAAAAAGTAAGTTTTTGTTATGCAAACCTTACCCATTTACTGGGCTATTCGAACCGGTTCTTTTTGCTCCTTCTGCTTTCCTTTTAGCATTCTTCATTGCTTGAACAGGGAGAGGTGAAGGTTTATTTCCTTTAGCCTCTTTCGGAGACTCTAGAAAAAGAAGCCTTTGTTACCTTGTTTTGAAAATGTGAGTACTAACTGGGAGAGATAAGGATTGAAGCCTCTCCCCACACTGCTTTCATTTTGCTTCTAACAATCCCTACTGTATCCATGTTATTAAGGTACATATGTCCATGCCAGAGCACACAACTGCCTACAAGTGGATCTGAAGAACCCCAAGTCAGGATTTAACCTGAAGCATTTCCACCCAAATACTGTTACTACTGTCACCCAAGGGAGTTAACTGCAATAGCAGCACACTGCCTCCAAAGCCACTTCACAAAGAAAGGGAATAATGAGCAAGAGAAGAGAAACTGAAGACATTATCATCTGAAAAGCCATGCAGCAGACCAGAAGTATCAGACCTCTCACCCAGAAATACTACTTGCCAGAATCCCTGCTCATATCTGTGTAACATTTCTTTAGTATAACATGCCAAAATTGAGTATTTAATTTACTGCCAAAACCACATACAAGCACATCTCTCCACAGTATACAGTTAAGCTAGCTTTAGACTAACTTGAATTCAGTCTTTTATCTGTTTCAAGTATTTCAGAGTTGCAATACTATTCAAACTACCATGAGAACAGTAGATGAGAAAATATTCCAAACAACTCAACCACTGCTTACCATTTTTAGGTAGAGGGGAAAATCCTGACGTGTTATCCAGAACCGGGGCTCCTTCAGGTAGTAGACCTTTAGCTTGTGCTTTTGCCTCTTCAATTGCTAATTTCTTCTTCTCTATTTTACTTTCCAAATCAGACAAATCAACCTGTAAGATCAAAACCCTTGCTTATAATACAACTCTGTAAGCCAGACTTTCCACTTACTCCAAAAACAAGGACCCAGACCCTGTGCCTAGTATCCTGCTCCAATAACGTACCAAGCTTGCAGCTGGTGTCAAACAGGGTAAGGTTTTCCAACTCATGTTTCAACTTGCAGTCTTTAGGGGACCCATGACATGAAAGAAACAAACCTTTTTCCTAGTATAGAGCTGCAAAATTTTTAAGCAGATTTCTTGTATCTCCTCTTCTGTTGTCCCAAAGAGTAAAAACCAATGTGGACGATTAGGAAGCGGAATCTGAAAGGGAGGGGAAGAGATACTCAGTTTTTGCTTCTAGTAAAAGACCTAGCAAACCCGAAGTTAATGGAACCATAGGCTCACCTCCAATGTTCTAGCTGCAAGGTATATACATGCACAGGCAATGCTTTCTGGCTGAAATCTTACAAAGACATCTGTTCTCAGGCTATCATTCATGTAATTCCTGAAAGACAGGAAAACAGAGTTGCAAAGCACAAGATCTTCCCTCCTGATGCCCCTCTGCACCTTCCCCTCCCCACCCTCTTCCCCCCCACTTCTACAGGTACTACTTCTTTCTGCATTCAACTAGACTTCAATATTACATTCCTATCGATCTAAAAAAAGAAAAACTTAATGATTTTACTAAAAAAAAAAAAGAAAAAAAAATCCCTCAAGGGGAGGGATGTGTGATAGAAATTAAGTTTGACTGACTGGCTGCTGAAAATTCAGCTGTGAGATGAGAACCATTTTTAACTTCACTTTTCCTTCTGGATCTCTACTGGCCTGCTCTCATGCACTAGAGAGGATTTGCATGAAGACAACATACAATATAATCTGAAGTACTCAGTTACAGACTTTTAGGTTCACATGTTTCTCTGCAATAGGGCTGAGCCCAGATGGTTTGAAAAGCAGCAGCTCCTGTGGCAGTTATCCCATGAAAATGAAGTCCACTTCAGCACATGCCAGCCTCCACTGAAGATTTAAGGGATCCATTCTCCTTTGGAAGCAGTGTTTTCCATCCTGAACAGAATTCTCCTCGATGCAAAGAACAGCCATAGATGAAAGGTCTCTGGGAGCATCAGTTCAGGAGAATACTCAGTATTCAGGCAGATCTCCTCCTTGGCACATGAAACACGATTTCCAAATTGTCCAATTTCAATAATGTTGCTTAAAATGAATATTCACAGAATGAGAAAACTGTAAAATATTGCATATAATATTCCAGTCAGTACACTTGAAAATTATTCTTCTAAAGTCTTAAATACAAAGTAACTTCCTCTGAATCTGTCAGTTGAAGCCCTTAAAAAGATCTAGATTTTTGAGCACATATGTCAAGCAAAGTATCAGATGGGGAAACAACAGAAAACAAAATCCTCAATATAGTAAACTTTCTGAAAGTAGTTGTTATTAATTATGTGGGTACCATTATACAAGGATTCACTAGCCTCCAAGACATCCAAACCAGAGACCACAGTCTAGACACTTGCATCCATTTTACATAGGAGAGTTGAAAGGAACCTGAGGCTTTTAGATGTCAAACTCCCACCTGCTCTGGTTGTCTTGTTTTAACAAAGAGCAACTGCTGCCCCAGACGAGCAGTCATAACCATCAATTCATCTTTTTAGGAGAAAAGAACTTTAAAAGCCACTCATATTATACCACAAAAATAAAATGAGAGAACAAACCTCTTAGCAAATAAGAGTAGAAGAGTGGTATTTCAAACATCAGAACTTTATATATACTTTTCTTAACTTGCCAAGTTGAAAAACTTTACTGCTTCCAACCTTGGTCACTGTAAACTTTCTGTGTGGGCTCAGAATCAGGTGTGTGAGGAAATGAATCCTTGTCACAATGTATTAATCAAAAGGTAATGTTGTAAAATGCACACTGCAAAAATAAAGGCAACAACTGTACTGGATATCCACCCGTTTTCAAGTACTGGAACCTACAAGCATCAGTACACAGATGTGTCATTGTAGCATCAGAAACGTTTCTCAAATGGGGTAATTTCCTCCCTCCTCCTCTCTTACCCCTCCTTCCTTTGATAAAGAGTAGAAAACTGGTAATGAGTAATATGTAATTGACATCTGAATGCTTCATAGATTACGACAAGTTGAAGGGACCCACATGCAACAGTACTGGAAATAATATGGAGTATGGATTTTCAAGTCCTAAATGAGTATCACATGATTTCTCATTTACAAATTGAAACTAAATTTCAGGTTCTTTTATTCTGTTAAACCATAATATAGAGATGTTTTAAATCCTATCTTCGTTTGCTCTTATCATCTAAAAGTACATTTTTTTTAACAGTTATAAAAATTTAATATTAAAAACCATTCGAAATATCAACAACCAAGTTATAAAACATACAACAGTCAAATAAAAACACGATAAAAAGAAGTTAAACTTTAAGCACAAGAAGCAGTTGGCCAGTTACTATACTATCATGTGTATACCACCTGTCTAGAGTCAGCCTTCTCTTTGTAGAGCCTGCTTTGGTTTGACTGAAGACGGCAGCTATCCCTGCACCATAGCGCTTGGGCAGCAGAGGAGAAGTCTTAGTCACTTACCCTCAGAGGCTACCCTTTGATTAAAAGAGTACAGAAAAGAAAAGTCAAAACTGGTTCTCTGTACACAGGCCACAGTACCAGACAGTTCAGTCAGCAGAAATATGATCTTTGGATTCACACTATTTTTAAACCACGGCATGGTTAAAAAGCATCACTGCTTAAAAGTGTTGTTTATTTACGTTTAAGACCTGGAATTTCTCATAAGCTTCCCATATCCAAGCAAATCTTTGCAGTAATGAAAGCAACAAGGCAGAGGACGTGTCTCAGTAACCATGAATACAATGTGCTTATCCAGTCTTAGAAGCTGATACCTTGCATTAGCCATAGGGATAAGAGAAATTTATCTGTGCTGAGATGTTTTGACGCACCTGTAATCAAACTCAGGCAATGGGAAAGGCCATTTCCCAGCCTGGTAGCACACTGACTACACAATTTTCTACAAAGAACAAGAAACAAACAAAATCCCAAGAGAACCATTAACCACTCAATGTTTTCCTTTCAGCTGAAAGGTGAAAGCAGAGAGGAGGGTAGTGAGAAGTCAGGGTGGAAAGCTACCTTACCATTAAAACAGAGCCTCAAACTTAAGAGGCCGATCAACATTTGGGTAGTAGTTTGGGCACTCCAAGAAACACTGGAGCTGTCTGCTGTGGCCCATAATCACTTCTGAGCATTGCTGCCCAGAATACATCAAGTGACATATTTCTGCTACTGCCCCTGCTGGTCTCTTATAACAAAGAAAATCAACTTACCATGAAGTCTGGACCAGGTGTTGGTTACGTTCACATTCTAATACCTGAAGGTACATAACGATTATCTGGAAGATATGGGTTATTGTGTTATTAACAAGAATCTTGAGAGCCACCTATATATTTCAGAGGGACATCCATGAGGCATCCAGTTTCCTTTCAAGTTCTAAAACACTCCACATGGGTGTTTGCAACATCAACCCACACAACCTCTGCTTTCCAGTGCAGAAGTTGGCATGAGTCGACACACAACCAGATCTGACCTTCCTAGCTCTCCGTCTTCTGAGCTCAGTCATCATGCTATTCATCTAGAAGGCTCGTCTTCAAGCTAGGTATGTTCTCCTATACAACTCACGATTCCTTTTTAGCTGTAACTTGGGAGAAAATATGGCTAGCTGCAATAAGTAACAATGGAAGTAGAACAACATTTGCAAAGAACAGCCCGACACGTTTTGTGTCACTGGTGTATTCAGCAGATTTTTCCTAGGTTTGAAAGGAAAGCAAGAGAACGTAGACTACTCTAATTGGAAAAGTTTATGCTAATCAACAAATGAGTGCAAATGCACAATGAATGATTAAGGTATCACGAGTAGCTAGCTTCATTGAATCACCTACTGTTCTCAGGAACAAACCACACAGCTCCCACGGAATTAAGCACCCAACTCAAAGCATTTATATCACATGAAAAACTGAGTACAAAGTTAACGTATACAATACAAACCTTATGAGGATGCTTTACATGAACACAAAATCCCAACTCCTTTAAAACTCTTCTTTCTGCCTTAATAATTTGGTTCTTCAAGTTCACGTATTCTTGATCCAGTATTAAAGGTACAGGCTTTCTGCAAGACAGTGTCAAATTTCAATGACAAATTTAAACCCAAGCATGTTAAGCTGTGTCTGTGTAAAGCTAAGATGCACCACCACTACTTCTAGGACTGAAAACCTTTAACTTATCAACTCACTTTTCTCCTTAGGGAGATCTTTTCAACGCGTTCTCCAATTTATTAAACACAAAATGATACCAACATCAACCAGCGAAGTGAAATAAATGAAATATAAAGCAAGCATTTTAGATTATTTCTGAACCTGAGCTTACTTTTTCTCTCGCAGATGTCGAAGACGATGGAACACATTGATTACATCCCTGATGCGTCTCGGTGCCTCCTCGATTTTGGATGCCAGATGAACACAGGCCATTGACACGTGCTGAAATAGAAGTATTGCAAGAGACTGATGTTTTGCTCAAATTTGAAGCTCATCTCCTCCGATAGCTTAAGGAGGGATAAGCTTAAGGAGGGATAACAAGAGAAAACAGTGGTAAAAACAGGAAAACACTTCACAAAAATCACTAAGCACCGTGCAGCTTTGCAAAGTTACATCAGTCTGTAAGCCTGCAGGTTATTTACCAACACTCTGATCACATCCAGGTAGGCAACCAGGTGAAACAGAGCAAAAGTTAAGTCACTTTTCTAGCCATGCACATCATGTTTGTTTCTTACCTCCATGGAATGCTTCACAAAAGACTTGGTATAGAAGAAACGCTGAAATAGCACCTGTCCTGTAGCCATAGCGACCTAAAAAGAAAGCAACCATAACAAGCATTAAGAAAACCATTCCCAGGTCAAGAAAACACCACTTTGGGTGATGGCAACAGGTTTAAGACCAAAATAAAGCTAATAAACGAGCTAGTTAAGCAGTACCTAAAGAAAAGTAGCACTCAAATCACCTCAAATGCTACCAATCTGAAGCCTCGAGCCTCCTGCACTCGGGAAAGCCTGAGTGTTACCAGCAAAAACAACAAACAAAACCAAACCAAAACGTCACAACGTGTTTCCTTAGGTGCGGGGAACGTGACTCCAACACGGCTTTCCTCTTACAACTCGAGTACCTGGGACTCTACAGTCAGGGAAGTTTCGCTCTAAGCCCTCAACGAAACTCATGACGAGCGGATCCCACCAGGGCCGCGCACCCCCAGCCCCGAGCCCAGCCTTAACAAAGCCCAACGGGCTCCCCGCCCCCGCTTACATCAGCGCTTCCTGCCGCCGCCCCCGATCCCTTCCGCGAGCCCCGCGGCGCGGCCCGGAGCCGTTCGAGGCCTCACGGTGCCCCGTTCCAACCCCTCAACCCGGCTCGGCCGCCGCGAGGCCTACGCGCCCCACCCAGGCCCGGACCGCGGCCTACCTGCGGGAGGCGGAGCAGGATGCCGGCCGCCTGGATGAGCTCGCAGCCGGTGACGCGCAGCTCGGTCTCCGTGTCGGGGTCGAGGCCGCTGCTCATGGACGGGGTGAAGCGCAGCGTGTGCTCGGGCAGCAGGCAGTTCTCCAGCGTGATCAGCACACCCGAGTACAGCCGGTCCCCGATCAGCACCGCCCCGGGGCCCGGTACCGGCGCGCCGCTCCCCGCTGTGGCGCCGCCCGCCGTACCGCCGGCAGCGTGAGGCCCCGCAGGGCCGCTGCCCGTTACCGCCGCCACAGCCGCCGCGCTGCCTGACCCCGCCGCCATTTTGTGGTGCCGCCACCTCGCCTGCTTGCGCTCTCCTTCTCCGCCGGGCGGCGCCTCGCCCTCAACGCTTCCCCCGCCCTCTTTCTACTTCCGGCCACTTCCTATTGGCGGAACGCGACGAGGCGGTGGGCAGCGATTGGCTGAGCCGCCGCGACGTCTGACGCTCTTTCAGGCAGCGTGACGCAGCTCTTGGGAATTTGAAGAGCGGAGTGGGTGGGACTTCCGGCTACGTAACTTCCGGCTACGGGGCTTCCGCCGTTAGCAGGGGCCCAGCAGCACCAGGAGGACTTGTGTAAGTCCCTGTGCTGGGGTCAGCCGGTTCTGCTGGGGCAGGGTTGTAAGGTGTTGGGTTTTTTAGCTATTAATTATCTTTTTCCCCCCTATTACAATGTAGTGGTCACTCAGATTCTTTTTCCAATTTAATAATTGGAAATTATTTAATATTGGAAATTGTTTGTTAAAAAAAAAAAGAATCTTTATTAAGTCTTTAACAGCAGGTGTATGCACACTATAGACATTTTAACATCAGAACTCCTACAGGTGTCACCACTGACACCAAACTCCCGTTCTTAACACATCTCACACGTAACAGAGGGAAAATACAACTCACCCACACAAACATGCCCTGCCCTTCCACCCTGCCAGAATCATCACGGGGCTGTTCCACAGCTCTGACCTCAGCCAGTGAGCAGGTCTGCCCTGCACTACGAGTTCCTGCTCACGACGCCCATCTGCAGGTGCTGGATGTTAATAGTGGTGCACGATACGTGAAAATATCCCCTCTGGTTCCTTCCCATCTCCAAGGGCGGCGAGGATACCTTCTTGTCTCCTCCTCTGGGCTAAAGCAGCGAGGGACTTGAATGTCTTTGGCTCATAAATGGCCAAATCGGCAATCATTTTCCTATTCAGCTCCACCTGGGTCTAAGTATAAGATGAATTGTTGGTTAAGGACTGTAATTTTTAGGAATAGCAACAACACTGCAATGCCTAGTAATTATCTGAGGTTTTAAGGCAAATTACCATTTTTTCCTACACTGTACAATTTTGGCACAGCTAGAGAACTGTCAGACATGATTACTCAGTCATGGGTGTCTCCTTAAGCCACTAATTTCTGTACTCACTTTCTCAAAAGTCTTTCCAATACAAACTAAGAAGCAAGGAACAAATCTCTCACGTTCTAAACTGAAGAACTGTATGTTTGCTTCTTCTGAATCTTTTAACAGAGAACCTGAGAAAAATATCCTTCACTGAGAAGCAACGATGTCTACCAGAATAAAAGGAGACTGAGAGAAGCAGGATTAGGGCAGAATTTAGTGCCTCAAGTGAGTACAACTTTCATAAGCACAACTCATTTCATCACTAGGAAGAAGAACAGTGCTGGAAGAAGTTCAGTCTCACAGAGGGAGCTTTTCCACTCATGCTCTAAGCTGTTATTGCCTGCTCAGGCTCTCATTTGGACATCTCCACCATTTCTCTTCAAGGACTGGCAAGAGGCAGCTGAAAACTGAGTTTCTTGCTGTTGCAGCCAGCAACCTTTTGATTTGTTTTGTCAAACTACATCTACATTACTCAAGCACGATCCTTACCTTAAACAGATTGCTTACAAAAGCTGAGTATTTCAAACCATGTTCAAGAGAAGCTGCTTCGATCCTAGTGATCCAGAGCTGAAAGTGTAAAAATTAACATATTGGGTGATAAAATATTATATAAATAAACATTTTGTGATGTTGATCTGCTCACAACTATTAAGTTGAACATATTCAGACCTTCATTTTTCTCAGTGCAACATACATGTCCCTGACTGTGAGCTTTTTGCAGATCACAGAGGGGCTATTACCTTAAATTCACAGCATTTTTCATGTTGGTAACACATTCTGAGAGACAATTCTCCCCAGAGAAAAGTGGCTATATCAGTTCTGTGCTTTTCCTGTTATAATGTTTACAGATAACAGTTTGCTATTTACCGCTCTTAGGAACCTTTTCTTCTGTTTTCTGGCCTGTGTTGACTTCACAAAAGCTCTCCGAACATTTCGTACAGCCAACTTATAGCAGCGGTTCTTCCTTCCACGAAAATGCTGAAATAAAAACAAGATATTCTTGTTAACTTTAAAGCTATTAAATCCTTCAGTAATGCTAATGTATGCTTGTTTGCATTTCAAACCCCTTCATAACAAGCTTCGCAAGACACGACCATCAGCTAAGCCTGCAGCTGGCATGTACTGAAAATATTCTTTCATCATTTCACAACTGAAAACTGAAAATTTGGTTCAGGATGAAACCTTTCAGTCCAGCAGGACGGAGAGAAAAGCCGACATCACTTTAGGCTGTGCTTCCAGGTGGAGGGCAACTGATGCTTTTGAACAACCTCTAAATCTTCATCATTTATCCCCATTCCTGAGTTCCCTCTCAGTTTTGTCCACAGGGATAGGACAAGATCCTCTGCTAGCACTGTCACCCCTGCATCATGACAGGTCATTGCTGTATGGTCAGTGGAATAACTGTGATCTGAAATAACTCGCACTGCTGCTGCCATCACTTAATTGAACATTTCCCAGCTCAGTTCTGCAGCAAGCTATACCTCTCGCCAGGATGCCAGCCTGCCCCTGGAAAAGGCTCTTCCCCACCTGAAGCACAGCAGTCAAAACTTCAGTTCAAATCCCCACTGTGAAGCAGTGCCTTTCACCTACCAAAGCACACTTAAACACTAGGGGGAAACCTGTTCCTTCATCCAAATAAAACCAAACCCCAAAATCAGCCCTTGCAGGCTGCTTCTCCCGTGTTGCTCACCCCTCCGGCACAGAACCCTCCTGCTCCTCACGCATGCTGAAGCAGCCCCAGGCCTCCAGCCTTATTCATACACCAGGGCCACGCAAAACGCTGATTCTTTTTTTTTTCCAGCCGCCTCCAGGGATCCACGGGGACGAGCACCCGGGCCGGGCCGCACTCACCCGGGCATACTTGAGCACCTCCTGCACCCTCCAGAAGCGATCGGTCAGGCGGCTGCGCAGCCACAGCGGTACGCTCAGCAGCACCATCTCCCCGCCGACGGCACGGCAACGCCGCACCGCCCCGGCTTCCGGGGCGGGCACTAACGGGGACGGCCCCGGTCCTTCCGCCTGCTGTGGTCTGCTCTGAGCCGCGCTTGGCCGGGCTGGACCGGCCTGTCCAGGCAGCGCCGAAGCGGGCCAGGCTGTGCCGGACCAAAGTAGGCCTCGCAGAACCGGACTAGGCCGCACTGGACCAAACTAGGCCGCGGCAAATCGGTCTAGGCCGCACCGGACCAAAGTAGGCCTCGCCGAACCAGGCTAGGCCGCACCGGACCAAACTAGGCCACACCAAATCGGGCTAGGCCGCACCGGACCAAAGTAGGCCTTGCCGAATCAGGCTAGGCCGCACCGGACCAAAGTAGGCCTCGCTGGACTGGGCTAGGCCTTGCCAGACCAAACTAGGCCGCACCAGGCCTGGCTAGGCTGCACTGGACCAAACTAGGCCGCAGCAGGCCCAGCTGCACTGTGTGTCCCCGTCCCTGCTGCCCCTCTGGGATAACGAGGACATGGAGCTGTATGATGGTTCCTTTTCACTGCTGCTATGTCACCGTGCACATTTAATGATGGATTTTAGGGTTTCAGCCCCAGCTGGCTTCGTCTTGACCTGCTCTTCTTCTAAAGATTGGGATTTCACTGGGTGTGTCTGTTGCATGGGCGTTAAAAAGAATGATTCAGTTTGTGCTGAAGTGAGTTTAATAAATATTAATTAAATGAGCAAACCCAAAAACTCTCGCTGTCTATGTTTAATTTGGTGTTTGCATTTGTAGCAAGTTCTTTTAACTCAGCACTGGAGTCAGCCATTCAGCCCAGCTGGAGTGAGGCTTCCCACATGCTGGGTTCCAATCACTGCACAGCCGTGGTGAGTTACCATAAAGAGGGCAAGTAATGTAGAACTCAGTGCTGGTGGTACATCTGGCTGTGTTTTGTGCACGAGAGATGGTGAAAAGTGAAAAATTGCAAACTGACAAACCACAAGATGGGGCTGTTGTGATAGGCTGCAGAAAAGTTACTTAGCAGTGAGGGTCTGCCCTTAGAGAAGACATCTACTGACTTTAACACACCACTCTGAGCATCTCAAAGCAACGATGCTCCTGTTAGTAACTGTTCCCTATGTTACATCAAGACACCTTTCCCACTCTGTGGAACTCAAACATAAGACAGCAGTAGTTATTTAGGTTAGGATTTGAGTTGCCTGGAACAATGTTTGCTGTCTTTTCGTGACTTAAGTCTCAATTTGATTGTATTTTCTAAAAGGCTTGTTGGTGGCGGTTTGTTTTTTTTTGCTTTTCACCCTCTATGTGTGTCTTATCCTTTCTCCAGTTAGAGGGCTTAACTCAGACTTGAAAAATACTAGATATTTGAACCAGGAGCTGCTGGCAGCCATTCACTATGCTGTGACTCTTCAGGAGCCTCCATGCCATTTGTCATATTTATTACATCCGATGCCATCTGTTTTCCTGCATAGATTCAGGGCTTTATTACCACCATGGCTGGCCTGTGCAATAACTGAATGCAGGATGTATGCTATAGTTATTTCCCTGTGGACGTCTGGGTAGGTCTGTGCAGACATTTCACATTTTGCAGCTTAAGGGAAAGCTATTGGCTTCCGTTCTCCCCTAGGAGCCATTCAGCCTGAGAGAGTGGTGAGGAAATGGGTAGAACAAGATCAAAATGGGCTTTTCATACAATGTGACTGTTTTAAAGGTCATTCCTCCCTATATTTTTTCATCTCTTTCTCTCTCTTTCTCTCATACATGAATTCATTAGTAGAAAGGAGATAGGCTCATTTGTGGTCGTTGAAAAATGTTGACGACTGATACTGACTCATGGGTCTGAAAAGACACAGAACACATGCAGGCTCTGTTCTCAGCCTTGCCACTGGTCTACTAGCTGGTAGAGCAAACAACTTCCCTTCTCCGTGCCTCAGTTTCCACATGTGTGAAAGGAAGGGTACTCATACTGCTCTTTGAATATCACGCCTGCAATTGCACTGGGCAAAACCTGAACGCTTGTGCTAGGTATTATTCCAAGCCTGTGATAGCACTCTTGCTCCAGATCTTTTGTCTCTCCCAATCTTAAATTATTCATTGCTACAGTGAGCCTTTTGAAGAATGTGAACGTGAATTCTCCATTTATGAAATGTCTTCACTGTGCCCTACACTGTACATGCTAAGCAGGTTTGCATCCCTTGTGTTTTTCCAATCTGATTTAGAAATCCTTTCGTGGCACAGCTGGGAAATCATTCCAGGATGTGCTCGATGAGAAGTTTCACTGGCAGTCACTTAGAAGGTTTTCACAGTTTGTTCCTTTTCTCCCAGGAAAGTGACTATCCAAACAGAGGTGCTCCTGGGGTTTGCAGTTCTGTTAAAATAGAAATCGATCTGTCAGCCGAAGTGCTTTTGAAATTGATTTAATTTTTTTTTATTACATAGCACAGTTTTCAAAAATATTTCAGTGCCTGACATTCAAAAATGAAAAGGACCGTTTTCAGGTTTGACAGACAGTTTTCTTTCTTTTTTTTTTAAACTTACAATTCAGAGCCTGGGTAAGTTACTTTATAATCAGCTTAGATAAGGAACAAATCAGGCTGCAGGCTGATGGCAGAGCCTATTTTTAACGTTCCCCTCCTCACCTGGCACATCAGCTTTAATTTTTTCTTCGCTGTGAGAGCTCAGAGATGGAATAAATAACAACAAACAAAGCAGATGTCACCTTCAGCACTAGTGCTAAAGCAAATAAAATGACTCAAGAAAAATCTAGCTGAAGTCATTCCTGGTAAGAAACAGCACAGCTGCCCAGTGCTTTGTGTGGAGAGTGGGTTTCCCAAGTGATGCTAAGTCTTCCCTTATTGCTACCTACAGGTGAGGGACTTTTCTCTGCAGTCAGGAAACACCAAGCATGGAATGCATCCAGTTGGAACATACCAGGGGAATGGCCACCATTCAACCCTTTGGGTGAAACAGGCACGGTACAGAGCACGAGAAGCAAAGTGAGTTCCCTTGCTATGTCTGGCTGCTGTGTCCGTGGGAGATCTGGAAGGCAGTCCAGAGAAAATACACTTCATGGAAGGAATGAGAAGAAGCACATGGCTGGAGAATGCCCAGGAAGCAGAGTGTGTCCCTTCAGGAACAGATGGGACTAGCTTGCATGCAGAAATGTGCCTGCTGTTGTTTGTTCCCTGCTGTATTTCAGGAATAAATGATTCTTGTGCCACTTCATAAATAAACAGGATTATACTGGAGTTAGTGGCTCCTTTTTTCATTTCCTCCTTTTCAAAACATCATAAGAAAGCTAGGACTTTGCATAATTAATAAACCTTTCAGCATCTTTTCCGCAATTAGGCCTGAAAAGACCCTTTGTATCTCAAAGCAGGATGGTGAGAGATGTGCAGCTGAAGATCCATCCAGGACCTGAGGAACCAAGTCTGTGCTCATGGAAGTGAGTCACAGACTGTGACCCTCAGACTGATTTCTCAATTTCACCTTGTCTTGCTGTTCTTCAGGGTGTGTCAATGGTAAGGACAGAACAAGGTGTTCTTTGGCTGTGAGGGTTTGTGCTCCTAGTATGGATGCTGCACCTTAATTGTGAGCTGCACTCAAGTGCAGACTGGTTAGGGGAATTTTTATTGCTAGATGTTCAGGAGGTGGAGATCACGAGACTTCTGAATGCTGGATAGGTTTAACAAGAAGAGCCGTAGAAAAATAATGAAGTGGTAAGTGAATCAACTAGTAATTGTAATAGCTAGGAGAACTGCATAACCAATGTGGATGGTGCTGAGCTGTTTTTAAAACTCCTTACTTGTTTCATAAGGCTTCATTCTTGCTGGTATTTGAAATCAATACCAATTTTCTCACACCGCTCTTCAATCTACTTGAGTCTTCAAGCCTACACTTCAACGCTGATTACATGTGGCAGACTGCAAATGGTCTCAGGATGTCTCACTTTGTACAAACAGCATTTGACAGTCCTGAGCCCAAGGAGGGAAGGTACTGGGAGAACTGGGAGGCTTCCTGAACATGCCTTCCCTCAATTCAAACACCACGAGCACAGATTGAGAAGTCTCTCAGCCCTTTCCTAGTGCGGAATTTCTCTAGGAAGTAGCACCAAATGGAAGATAGGACTTCTGGATTCCTTCCCTGCTATTCTGTGCTGAGCTCTGCCTTCTGGTAAGACCTGTGCACCTCCTGGAAGAAAGTTTTCTTCCTCCTGCACAAGTGAATTCATCTGAAAGGTGATATAAATGTAGAGATAGCAATGAGTTCTTAAATAACATTCATCAAATTAGGTAGGTAGAATAAGTGATCATTACTCTGCCTTCAGCACAAGAGTACATCAGTGTGCTCTGCAGACAATAACAGTGGTGAGTGCAGAGAACAGAAGGTTTCTAAGCTATATTGTGATTATTATCAATTACTCCAAGGCATTTTAATCTAGAGAGAAAACGTAGAAAATGAATCACGGGCAGAATAATAATTTCAGTTCGAAAGAGACCATCTTGCCCTGGGAATGTATGGTTTGAGTGTGGCTCCTGGGTGCTGTGTGCTAAATCACTTGTGAGGCAGATGTAAGTGATTGGCTGGCACAGAAAGCAGCTTCAGAAGCCACACTGTAAACAGAGCAGTGCTGCGAGGCTCTGAGGAAGGCACTGCGTGCATTGGAGCACTGTGACAGCGGGGAACAGAGAGCACTGAGACCACACACTGCTCCCATCTCTGCTTCCATCTCTGCCTGCTGTGGGCAAGGACTCCATTAAGGCAGAGGGGAGGGCAGCTCTGCTTCGTTATCATCCCTGGGCATTTCGTTTGGATGAGAGTTGAGAAGGAATATTTCCATGGGTACGGGATGAGAAGCATGAAAAGGTGATTTAAAGTGGACGACCTGTCTGGAGGTGCTGGTGTTGCTGGCAAACAGCAGTGCTAAGAGTTGGAGGAAGAGGATGAAGGCAGGTGCCCTCCTGAACCGAGCTACCTATCAAAGCTGAGAGCAACTGCTGGAGTCGTACTCCTGGGAAGAACAACAGGAATTCAGGGGTGCCATGGATTCAGAAGCAGAATTATAGCTGTTGCCAAGCTGCCTTAAAACGGAGATAGGACACTACTGGAAAACAACCTAAGAAAGAACAGTTTGTCCTGGGAAAGCAGGTGGCCAAAAGGCCGTTCCTTCCTTGCTCCATTACGCTCTCTGGCAGTGTTCTTGTCCGTATGTGCAAGAGCTAGGAAAAGCCTAGGCAGATCTGTAGCCAAAACAAAAGAAACCACTTTGAAAAAGGTTTGGAGCATTCTTGCAACATGGCTGACCAGGAGACCGAGGACTTAGCAGCAGAAAGCCTCTTGGCCAAGTCTAAGATGCATCCCAGCCTCCCACCGTATGACATGGATGACCAGCTCCTTCCCAGGGAGCCACGGAGCACCTGTGGCTGCTGGACATGGGCTTTGCTGATAGCCACCATGAACCTCTTAGTCTTTTTCATCAACTTGCTCCTGATGCTTGTTATCTTCACCATTGTGTTGCTTCCCACCATTGTGGTCGTTTACTTTGGCTTCCAGTGCCACTCTCGGGTAAGTAAGTATGCTCCATTTGGAATGGAAGTTTGAATAGGGAAAACTAAAGGGTAAAAGAGCTCTGGTGGTGTTTGCTACTTTCCATTTAATTAACTTTTTCACAGTGATTGACATATTTGATCTTCCTAAAAAATAATTCAGTATTAATAAAGCCTAGCAGAATCTGTAATCCCTCTTATGCCTGATTACAGATTCAGATGTTTCTGTACAGTTTCTCACTTGTAACCAATGTATTTGCTTGGTCATTTGCATGGTGCCTGCTCCATGTCGTTGCTATCCTCTGGATTTCATTATTCCAAGAATACCCATGAATTTCCTCTTATGTTTCCATAAATATGTTTGGAATCTGTTGAATAAGTGGATGGCAAGAAACAATTTCCCTGTTTTCCTCACCAGCAATAGCTTTTAGAGCAGCTCAATCTGGTTTCTCTTGCAGGTTACCCAGAGTTAGGAGGGTTCTCTTCCTGCTTTGGGGAGGGAAAAAACAAACCCTGCAATACTTCCTCCCAGGAGGGAGAACAGGCTCCAAAAATAGATGCTGTCGGCCACCCCACTCCACAAAATCTGAACAAAGGGAAGACTTTGAATCTTCTCAAAATGATATATTTACCCGAGAAACATAAAAGGAGAAGCTTGTTACTTGTTTTTTTTTCCTTCCTTCTTAGTGAAGTCTGTGCATCCCATCTAGTCAGCCAAGTCCTTGGGACCTCTGAGTGAGCAGATCCTGGAGTGAGAGAGAATGTTTCAGCACACAGACCCTTGGTCTTTGCAAAGAGACGATTGGGATCATTGGCCTTGGAAGACCCCAAACTACCCCTTGTACACACAGGGCTCTGCTTGATGGCTTTGGGCTCTGAGGAGCAGCAAAAGGTTTTTGAGTAAAGCAGAGTACATCAGTCCTGAAAGCAACTGCTGTTAGCTGCAAGGAGTCTTTTAACTCAGATTCATCTTTTAATAGGGGTAGATGGGGAATGCTGCAGGATGGCTTGACAAGAGCAGCCCTTTGTCCTCAGGCTATTTCTGTTCTCTGCCTTCCTCGTAGCCAGAGGCTGATTTCTGCACTGCAGAGCCATTAGATGGATTTATTTATTTTTTTGAATGTGATTGTGCTGCTTCTACTGCAGAAAGCATATAGAGAAAAGAGAATGAGGGGGGAGAGGGGGGTGAGAGCTGCCCATGTCATTTGTTAGCACAGAACCAGTGAGTGCCTTGGCCTGGTGCTGCTGCTGCCAGCAGGAAGGCAGGGCTGTAAGCCCCAGAACCAGGGCTGTGCTGAGTGCCCTACAGGTGAGCAGGACCTCTCTGCAGGTGTTGAAGTGCTGAGAGACCCAAATATGTACACGGTGGTGTGTAGAAGATGGAGCACAAAGTAGGCTTGGGAATCTGCAGCCCACCAATCTATCTGCAGGACCCAACATTTTTGCTGCATTTTATTTACTTAACTGTAATTGCCAGCATGCTGTGCCACCCACGTCGGTGCAGCAGCAGGAGGCCTTTTTATTTGGTTCCCAGATATTGAATGCTAAGGCGTGCTATTATGGATAACTTAATAAAGACGGTTTCCTGCTTCAGGAGCAGTGTGCCACTCTTGTCTCACAGCGATGCCCGAGTAATTGAAAGCCTGATTAAAGTGTTGTCAGTCATATCATGTCGCTTGAGGACTGCAGAGGGAAAGGCAGTCGTGCCTCATTGGGAAGGCACTGAAACTCAGGGCTGCTTTGGTCCCTGCCCCTATCCACCAGCTGCTCTGTGACAAACTCCCTGTGTTCCCACAGGTGCTGCACTCCACTGCCCGCTACTGCAGAACCATCCTGGATGACAACAGCTCCTCGGCCCTCATCATCCTGGGCTTCGTCATCATGTCGCCCCTCATCGTGGTGGCCATGGCCACCTACTGCAGCCTGGCCAGGCGCCTTCGCCTCCTCATGTGCTTCCAGCCGTGCAGCCGGGCCCTGTACAAGGGTGTGAAGTGGCGCTGGTATGAGGAGGGCGGTCTGTGCGGCTGTGCCAGGGGCTGCAGCCCTCATGTCAAGGCCTGGGTTTGAGCCAGAGGTTCCATCCCACCCAGCGTGCCCTCCTCCCTATCCTGACCCTCCCCGCTGCCTCCCAGCATCACCCTGAGACCCCTGTGGAGCTGTGCTCGTTGTGAGCAAGAGAAGTGTTCGTGAGCCACCTCCTATAGCTTTGTCTATAACGTAGTAGATTGCTGCCTGCCACCAGGGAGTGATTGTCAGTGCAGCTCCTTGGTGTTAAAGACAACGTGCAACAGAATGGGAACTCCTCCAGGACCTGCTGTGCTCATGGCAGCTCTATTTCCAGTCTTGACAGCATGGTCACAGAGGTCTCCTTGGGTTTGGCTGCTGCTGGGGAAGCATCCAACCATAAGGAAGCAGCTGGGGTTTCCTTCAGTGCTGGGCAGTCCCAACCTCTGTAGGTCACTGCTTTTACAGTGCTGGAGATCTGCAGAGTTCCTACGCACCAGATGTTCTTCCCCAGTTAACAACTCCTCTTTCCCATAGCCTGTAGCAGTGCTATGCTCGTTTTCCTGTCCCTGGGCCAGGTTGTTGGGCTGGCTGCAAATATACACACTGTTCTTTGGGTCTGTCCCCCTCCAGCTGCTGATCTGAAGCGTGCTTGTCTGGTGATAGCTGGTGGGTATTAACCTGCAAATCACTCTTTGTCCTTTGCTGTGGTTTTGTTCAGCTCCATTTTAAGGCTCCTGGCAGGACAAGCTGGAGATCTCCAGTGGCCTCAGGGTCACTGCAGGCTCTTCCAGGGCTGGGTAAGAGATCTCAGAGACAGTGCCTTGCTCTGAGACACCTGGATGTAGCATGAGTGCTGCACAATGCGAAGAGTGGATGTGAGAAGGTATGGCAGCTGGGTGTAGGACTGTGTGATGCTCCAGGTGGTCCCACTGGAGCAGGTTTGGACCAGATGATCTCCAGAAGTCATCCCCAGCTGTGTTGTGATGCTTTTCTTTAAGTCCCAATGGGTTCAGGCACAGCATCAGTGGGGCTGTGTGCTGCTGACCGCTGCGAGCTCCGTGCTCCCCCCGCTGCTCTTCCTGTCTGCCAGCTATTGCCATTGCAAGTGCTATGTGTGAATAAAGATCATGCTGAATCTCCACTGGAGGAGTTTCTGTTCTGTCTCATAGTACAGGCTGCACCAGAACCAGCTGGCTGCAGCCCATTGCAAACTCTTGTTCTATCCTCAAATAATCAGTGGTGGCTACGGATGAAAGTGGATTGGATTGTAGCACAGGCTGGTACTCAGCCCAGCCACCAAACAGATGGGGACAGGGAAAGCTGGAGGTAAATCAAAGCTGGAGCTTTGAGCAGTTAGAGCCATTGGTTGGGGCTTTGGCCATTGTGTTGTTTTGTGATGGTTATAGGCTGAACTCCGGACTCCAGCAGAGCTCTGTGCTGTTGGCCAGCAGTGTAATATATCAGCTTTGCTGACTCCCTCTGAATGTACAACTGAGCTGTTCTGCCAGCCCTTGTCACCATTTAGTCCATTCTGGCAGCTGCAGCAAACCAGTCTCAGCTAAATCACCTTCACAGTGCTTCAGGTGAAACTGGTCTGATATGTCTCATTTACAGTTCAAATTACTGCTGAATGCTTCTGTGTACTGAGTGAACAAGACTGTTCCAGCCCATAGCCTGAATGGTTGGAGGAACACAGATTTTTGCATTTTAAGGCTATTACCATTGTTACAGGACTTTGCAGGGTGGGAGCACAGAGTAAACATTCTTGTTCTTTTCCTGGTCTGACCTGAACTCACTTCCCAGGGTGCAGAACCTGACCAATAACTCTGCTGGAAGTCCCCTTCTGCAGCTCCATAGGGCATCTTGCAGAATATCATACAGTGTATATGCATCAGAGAACTCCCTGGACTATAAAGGAAGAAACACCTGCATTCTTCTGTCAGCTGGAGCTGGAGACACTTCTCTGCATCACAGCAGATCTCAGGGTAAGCTCTACCTCAGGGATGCCCTGGTGCAGCAAAACATGACTACAGCACAGCAGTGAGACTGCAGCCCTGAGATCTCTGTCTTTAGAACAGAGGCACCCTTGATGTCCTCTGCCTTGGGGCAGCTGTGCCAGCTGGGGACTGCGCCTGCAGATGCTGCAGGAGGCTGCTGTGTGTGCTGTGTGTGTGCTCCTCAAACCCTCACATGGGCTTTGTTCCGGAGTTCAGCACAGCTGAGCCTGGCATCCTTCTGAAGAGGAAGGCAATTTTCTTTTTTTTCTTTTTTTTTTTTTTTTTAATCAAGCCTCTGGTCTGATAAGAGGCTACAAGGGTTTTGAGCCAGGAGTATTCATTTTCGCTGTGTGAATTTCCAAGATTAAAAATAATAATAAAAAAAAAAATTAGCCAGAAAGAGCTGAAGGTACCGACAGTCAGTGCCAAGCAGGCAGCTTACCTTGAGCTGGATATATCCCCAGCATGAATCACAGGCAAACAGCTGCTTTGTGCCAGATTTATGACAGGTAGCTACGAGCACAGTGTAACTGTGAGCTCTCATCCTGTGAAGGTGAAGAGAAAGAGAGAAAGCATTAATAACCCAACTCGTGCTGAAATGGGGCTAATATTTCAGAGATGCTGCTGTGCATCACCTCATCCAGCTCTGCTCCTTGCTGCCTTCGTGGAAGAGCTTTTACCTTTCCCTGACGGTGTGCATTTGCATTGATGTTTGCAGCTGGCTATGGGAGAAAAGCAGCAGAGGAGGGCAGGGGAAGGACAGCAGCACCTGGGGTCTGGGAGTCTGGCTGTGCTGCAAGAGAGGTGTCTGCTTTGTGCCTGTAGGGTTTTGGGGTGAGGATGAGGACGGTGTGAGGATTGTGGCTCAGCAATGCTGAGGTTTCTGGAATGCTCTGCCTAGGGGGAATTTGGGCATTGATGGCGTGGGTTCCCCACTCCCAAGTTGGTTTGGAAGTGAGAATGTAGTCCTGCTGCTGCTGCAATGGGTGCTTTGGGGGGTGTTTGTGGAGTGCAACGTGGAAAGCAGGAAAACAGCAAAACCACGATTTGACTGCTAACAGAAGGGACAGAAAAATAAAATCCAAAGGAATGGAGCCATCACAGCAAGTGGGCTCATTCTTCACAAATGTAACAACACACCAAGGGTGCTTGCTGGCTGCTGACAATGTTCTGTACCAAATTACTGGTGGGATCCATACTGACAGATGGATGAACCAGGGGGAGACGAGGGAAGCTCTTTTTTGTGGAAGTTTCCCCTTGTGAGGAAGTGCTGCTCCGGTCCATGCAGCCCCACAGTGCTGGGCGGATTGTCTCACCCCTCTGTTCTGCATCCTAAGCCATCCTGCTGTGCGTGAGCACTTATAGAAGCTCCATGTACAAATTACATGTGGATTTAATATGACAGAAGTGAATGCTAACAGCTTCCACAAGTGGCAGGAGGAAAAGCTGCTTCTGTCATGCAGGTCCTTAATTCCCATTCTGTGATTTATTCAGAGAGTGAGGGTCAGGGATGAATAAGCTCAAAGGCCTCCTGAAATAAAGAACAAATCTCAATCACACAGGGATGGCTCTGGTCACTGAGAACCAGATCCAATGGGAATCTCTGGCACTGGTACCCAGCAGGGCTCAGCTGCTCCTGGCAGAGCTGCAGTGCATTGCCAAGAGCTCAGGGCATCACTCTCAGTGTCATCTCTGCCAGATGGACTCCATGTGCCTCATTCTCCTGATCTCCCGAGTAACTCTGTAGGCTAACTTGGCAGGGATCTGCGTGGTAATACAATTCCACTGACATATATGCTGGACAGCTTCTTTTGCTCTCTTTATTTGTATTTCTGACTGCTTAATGGTAACTTGAGAGTCTTCAGGGAAATGTCCATTGTCCTCCTGCAACACCCTCCTCTGTCTTGGAGCTAACTGGTCACCAGTGATGATTTCCAGCTTGGGAGAACTCTGAATGAATGGAAACAATTAAGGAGCAACTAAGCAGTGGGTGCCTGCCAAGGGTTTGCACCCAGCAAGCTGATCCTGCAGCACAGTTCATGCTGCACCCTTATCCTGGGGATGGTCCCTGGGCCCTGATAGAAGCTGCTGTGCAGGTAAGGAAGCAAGCAGTGATGTAACCCAGCTGTGCCAGCACCAGTGTGCCCTGCAAACCAGTCCCTTACGTGGCAGTGAGCAGTGGGAGGCAGTTGGGAAGCTGTGTGTGTTTAAATGAGCCTCTGGGCACACAGAGCTGCTAAAACACAGCAGAGCTCTGAGGCCATCTGTCAGGCACGCGTTGCTGAAGGGCTCTTTGTGGAAGAACTGTAGAAGAATATGAAAATAAATAAATTACGTAGCCCTCCAAATCAATAGTAGCACAGAATGGCTGGAAGGGTGAGCGTGGCAGATGCTGCTAACTACTTCACAGTCCTCTTTGAGAGCTAGAAACTGCTGTCCAGAAAAACCTCTCAATCACTCAGAGGTCTGCAGGGGAAAACACTTAGAGGTCTGCAGGGGAAAAAGCACCAACTGAAAGAGAAGTGGAGAGCAGCACTGTTTCAGGGCTTGGGAGCAAGATTTCACTCTGCAGCCGGCAGTCCTGACAAAGAGGGGTACCTGGGCATCACCAACACGAGTGTTTCTGAGAAGCAAAGCTTTGCTTTGGGGAACTGATGCCAGCAAATATTGCCCCAAGTAACTCAGCATGGCTGTTTTTCTTCTTGAGGAATAAAAGCCAAGCTCCCCAAACCCTAACCCTATGCGTGGAGACAAGGGATTATGCACAGACCATGACAAGCCCAGAGCACTCAGCACAGCTGGGGAAGCTCAGCATTTGTGTTTTCTTCTCCCCCCATGCCTTGTCCTACCCCCAGCTCAGCCAGGAACAACGTGGACTTGTTCTGCAGCTCCCCAGGCAGTGCCAGGAGGAGCTTTGAAAGGGATTCTGCAGGAAAGCAGGAAAACAGGAGCCTTCTGCGGAGATGTCTTTTGGGTTTGCTGCACCCAAAGCACATGGAAGGTAATGCAGATGGACTCTGTGGTACTTTACATCCTGACTGTGAGCCCGCAAAGTTCTCACATGGCCTCAGTCCAAGCCTGGCTCAGCATGCCACCTGGGCTCTGACCCTAAAAGTTCTTGCTGAGTTCATTCCCTGCATTCTCCAGCCTCCAGGAGCTGCACGAGGTGCCCAGCCACGCAGCAAACCATGCACAGGTGCTGCCTCTGCAACCCCATGACAGCAGACACAGTGCTGAGCACGAGTTATTCCTCCTGCTCACCTGGAAGCACAGATCTGCTGCAGCTCGTCCTCATCAGTAGGGTTAATATCCCAACAATGCGCTAAAATTACCCTTTTGTCATCACATTTTTATCTGCGTGGCACCAAGCAGGCAGCTACGTATGTTAGAGCCTCTGGGGAGTGTTGCAATCCCACCAACATGTTAGTGACTGCTCTGCCCATCTGCACGGGCTGGCAGCTACAGGGATTGTCGGTGCCAATAGATACCCAGATAACAGCTCCCCCTGCACCCCCCCAAGTCTGTCTCCAGTGGCTGTAAAGGCGTGAGAACTTGCCCTAGGAGGATGCTAGTGGATAATACACAGTGAAAACCACAAGGAGATGGGGCTGGCAAAGCTGGGGGCTGAAGGAGTGGGTGGGAAGGGAGACCTTTGTTTGCAGAATGAAGCAATTGGCTGCAATGTGTATCCCTGTGCTTGCGGAGGGATGCTCAGCAAAGCACTGGGAAGCACCACTGGGTCGCACCAGAGAACCTGATGTGCTTTGCCCCCTTGGACGGAGCAGGCAGGATGTGCAGGGCTGGACTTGCTTTTCAATGGCTTGCACAAAACACAAGGAGAGATAAGGAGCAAAGAAAAAAAAAATAACACATTAAGAGGCAGGCTGGGATGCAGGAAGAGGTAGCACTGTCTGGTTCATCGCTCTGCTTTCAGCAGCCGCCAGTTTCAATCGTGCCTGCACTCATTGTCTCCCAAGCACGCAGTTGAGAGCTGAGGAAACCAAGCCCTAACCCCTAACCAGATGAGCAGGGGTAAAAATAGCAGCCAGGGGAGCAGACTTCCTCCCAGACACAAACCTCTTGCTGCTGAAGGCCACAAATCTGTGCTGCGTCCCGGCTGCTCACGCACCCAAGGCTGCTTTGGCACCAGTTGGGATGTAGGGCTGGGGTCTGCCTGCCTTATGGGGACAGCTGAAGAGCCTCCTCTGATGGCTGATCCACCTGCCTCCTTTGCTGCTCTGACTTTCTGCTACCTGGCATCTTTTACTCTGTTCAGCTTTAATGGCCTTTTGGTTTCTATTTTCGCTGTGGTTATCTTGGCCCCATGCTGGCTTCCAGCCCTTCTGTGCAGAAAACTCTTTTCAGCCCTCTGGATCCCTTTCCATCGCCTTCCTGGCTCACCCCCAAAGCTCTGTCTGCTGCCACTGAGAAGTAAACAATCCTTCTACTCGCAGCACCTTATCTCCTCTGTGAGGACCCTTATCTCCTGCACAGAGCCTTGCATTTCTGCATTTGCTTTCTGGTCTCAGCTGTGCTACAGATGCTTAGAGGTCTGAAAATTCATAGGAGCATGGAGAGGAGACCTGTTGGTCACAGCCCACAAAGGTTTTCAGTTCAGGTTTACAGGGAAGCAGTCCATCCAGCCTGCTGCTTTGCTTCCTACCAAAACTAAGTGCTTTACGATCTAAAACCCCAGAAAAGGTTTGATTCCAGTTAGGATCAGAGCTGTAACATGATGGGGAAAAGATAACAGTTTTGCTGAGTTATCCAACGTGCATTATCACCTATAGCATTGCTCCTCATGTTCCGTGTACCATCTCCATCTCTGAGAAGCCCACAAAGGGAGGAGAGAGGAGACAGCTGCCCTGCAGGGATGCTCTGAGTGCCTTCCACA